ACAATTGATTTTGAGTAGTTTAGTGAAAGAAGGAGAAAAATAAGGGAGAATACATATATAAAATAAAAAAGCAAAATTATGAGTTTTTTGTTATTTTCACTTTTCTTCTTTAGCTTTTTCATTTAGATAATTTTGTTTAAAAAATATAATAACTTAAAAAAATAAAATATAAAATTTGAAGAAAAAATTGCAAAGAGAAAAGGAAAAAATTGGAATATAGGATTTTGATTTTTGATAAGAAAATATGATTTTGGATCTTTTTCTTCACTTTCTTTCTTTTTTTTTCCTTCATTCTTTATTTTGTTCAGCCTTTTTTTCATCTAGGTTTTGGAACAGTAAAATGTTATTATTTACAATAATTAAAAAATATATTATCAAACAAGCATATTTGATCTATCCATTTGTATTTCTAAAATAGAGTTAAAAAAATTAGATTTTATTTTTGTGAAAGAAAATAAGAGATAGTGGAGAAAAAAGTATGAAAGGTTTTATCATGTTAATTATTCTCAATTTTGGTTTTTTTAATTATTATTATTTCAGTTAGGTATTTTCTCTAAAAATTTACTATTTAAAATAATTTGTATAAAAATTAATCAATTGAAATTTTTAAAAAAGAAAGAATGAAATTGTAGTAGTCCCACAACGTGGCGCGTGGATAATTGTAGTGGAAACAAAAAGGCAATCCATGTTGAGAAGTGTAATAAAACAAATTAAAAATGGGCTGAAAATTCAACCTTAATTAACAAAAATTACACCTCTGACAAATCCTAAACGTGCAGCGAAAAGCCTATTATTCTACAACTGTTCTGCTCGACTAAGCGACGGATTTTGCGGGTGAAAACTGAAAAGGATAAGAACAGCTAGTCAATCATTATTCCAAGGTCAAAGACATTATATTAAGAAGAAAAATTGACCTTAATATATATTTATAAAAATTTGAATATCTGAAAATTAAAAAAAAAAACACGCAAACAATGACATGATCTCAATATTCTAACTATTTTAGAAATCTTTAGCATTTATTTTCAGACTTTCTTCTATTTGCCGTTATTGTGAAGTGAATAGAATAGAGTGCGGCTCCTTTGACCTGGACGTGCAAGTTCACAAGTCTTTTGCTGTCATGAATTACATGCATGGGCCAATAAATGATGGCCACATTTGCATTTGGGACTGATTTTTCCATGTTGACTTTTGTTCTGTGGAATGTAATCATTGGTCACGGCGCTGCCCTGCCATGTTTTTATTGGTCACCTTCGCACCCAACACAAAGACTTTGCTACGATAAATATAAGAAAGTGAGATAAAATTGGGGTCAAATTTAGGAAAATTGGAAATAAATAAGACTTAATTAATTTCTCTGTTCTAATCTTCTCTACAAGTGACATATCACGAAGCAATATACTGATTTATTCACCAGACTTTATGTTTGGTTTGGGGGTTGGACAACCAGAATTAGACAAACAGACAAAGAGAATTGCTTCCCAAGAAAGAAGACAATTTTCACCTCTTGATAATCACAAAGTGTGATAATCACACTTTCGATACCAATACTCACATCTATAATACAAGTATCAATATATAGCACCTACAACTCCACAGCCATTCACATTTTCCTAGCTATAAATTTAGGTTTTCTTCTCAAAATGGAATAACATTGTGTGTTACTTACTTTATAAACATGAAATATATAGTTCTCCAATATCTATCAATGATACTTTCGACTTATTATCTCCCTATAATTTTTCTTGTTTTATATCTATATTAAAAAAAAAAAAAACATTGTATTATGAAAAATTATATACATAAAGTTGAATGGTTTTACTATAATAAACTAAGAGTGTTATATAGGTATTCCTAATTTCATTCCTAAAACTAAAATCCGACAAATCCCACTCAGTAAAAGTTGGGTTAGGTTGGGGTGGTTTGGTTTGAAAATGCCTCATTGCAGGATTGCCTTTTCCAACAGGTTCTAAAATAAAACATGATTAGAGGATTAGTTAGGGGGTGAATATAAAACAAATTAATAAGACACGGACATTAGGCTCAATTGATGATTATATTTATCGATCTAGGCATAATTATTTCATGTAGGTCAGAGCTGCATGCTGCCCTCCTTCTAGATATTTCTGAGATTAATTAACCAACTTCTGGCATAGGCTTACCAAAACCTTCCATTGCTACTATTCTTAAGGTGCCAAACCAACCTAACCTATGAGCAAGACTCAAGACACACCTCACAATTTGGGACCGAAAAGACAAATTAAATGAGTTCAACCCAATCCCTTTCAGTTTCATGTCATGTCCAGCTATCACAGCGGAAAAATTTACTAAGGACAATTAATTTAATCATAATGGATCAGTTGACATATTGGTTAACTTTATTCTAAAAGAAAAAAAAAATATCCACCTATATTCTTATTAGACTATCTATTTAACTAGAAAAATAGAAGCAACAGATTGCATTAATAATGAATTTTTTTTTAACTCCACAAATAAATTTAAATGCAAGTTATGTGTCTGGCATATATTTGAAAGTCGTCACTTGTAGAGTTAAAAAAATTTTACTACATACTGATCTGAAATCACTCGGATTTGTAATTATTTGCAAAATTAGAAAGAAAAGAGATACTGGATCTAAGTTGAACAGTTGTGTAAAAACAACAATTACTTGCTGAAGTTGAATCTTTCCCTAATAAGGTTTAAGCCTTTTTATTTCTTAAAGATCCTTTAATGGGTATTAAATTCAATCCCAAGATTTGGGGCCATCTGTAAGCAACAAAATTTCATAATTTGAGGGACAGTTTTGGTTCAGGTGGAAGATGTTCTAAAGGGTGATGAATGCTTTCAATGTTATATAGCTGGTGATTTGAATGCAACTTTAAGTAATGTTATAATTAATAACAATGATTTCAACGTTTGTTGGTGGTGATTTTGATGTCTGCTCCATTTTTCTCTTGGATTTGGAAATTATAACTTTTCCATAAGCTGTTAAAGATCAATGTGCCCTGGAGACAGCAACCAGATATTTTCCCTTAATCACCACTATAACCTTTGGACTTGCTCTTATTAGGGTAACTTTTTATTCATTCGTATCAACTTTTTCAATTCAATGCTTTGCATGTATAAGATTTAACGTTTCTTCTTGATGAAATTACCTGTATAAGTTGAAATTGAACAATTTTCATTAAAAACAACATAATTAAACAAAGTATAATTATCAAGTAATATAAAGATAATGCAACATAAAGTAAAATAAAAAGGGCATTATATTTGGAAAACCCCTTAATTATTTAAGAAACTTTAAATAAATTTTTATTCTTCTATTACATTCAATTAAACTCATATACTATTATTTTAGGTCCAATAGTTTGTATGATTAATGATTGACTAATTATCATTAGTCAAAATGTCACTTGTTATTTTATATTCACGTGATGCTAACATGACATTAACATAGAGGATGAAAAATATCATATAGTCATGTCATCATACTAAATCAACATATTACATGAACCTCCATTATAACATGTCACGTGACATAGAATTATAAGTGACATTTTGATCAACAATCACTAATCAACCATTAATTATAAAAGTTTATTTAATTTAAGATAAAAATATAAAAATTTGATTAGATACAATAAAAGAATAAAGATTTATTTAAATTTTTGTAAATATTTATATAAAAAAAATCCACAAGAGTTATAACTATTTACACAATACAATGAGATAATCTTTTCACCCCAAATATAATATAAATTAAGAGTGAATATATATATATATATATATACACACACACACTCTCAAATATATAATGCAACCGAATAAAATGATTTATAACAATAATGTGTCTTTTAAAATTTGCTTTATTGAGGAGTTAAATTTTATTAAATTCCATAAATTAAAATTTTACTTATTTATGCTTCCATTTTCATGTTTCATTTCCGAATAAAGTTACATAGTACCTACCACTTTTTCTATTTTTATCAGTGTTTCAAACTTCATTCACTCTTTAATTATTATTTTGTAGTTAGCAAACTTGCATGTGACAAATAGAAGTGTTGACACAGATAATATGGGTATCTCTAAATCTAACATTCAATAAATTCATCTTAGAGATATTTGAAATCTTCTCCATATGACCAATTCATATACCTTTTAATAATCTTTCTTGTCATGTTCAAACAATTCAAATTTAGACCATATTTTACTTAATTATTTTTCTTTAAAAAATATTTTTTGCCCTTGTTCAAACTTCAATCTATAAATATATATATATAATTTAAAACTTGAGAAAGGAAAGAAAAATACCACCTTCTTGTTTTTAAACAGTGAAAAGGGCAGTTTCATGAACTAAGAAGAGGAGATAAAGTATATATACTTGTTTTTAAAGAAAACATAATTACATATTATTTTTAATTTCGAAAATTATTTAAATTTGATTTTTTAAATAAGAGATACATGTATTTAATAATAAAAGTTAAAAAAATTTAATAATTAATCAAAAAAATATTTATATTTTAATATAATGCTTTCAAAAATCACTAATTAAGAAAATTCAAATCAATTCTTCTTTTTATTACATTCAATAATCTTTATATTTTATTTTGAATCAAATAAACTCTTATATTAATATCTGTTATTTTTTTTTATATCGTATAATACTGACGTGAAAGTTAAAATATCATATGATTATATAACATATCACATTAGATTTATTGTAATATATTAACATATCACGTTAATATCACATTATATAAAAACAAGTAAGGTTTTGATAATTTGAATTAAAATAAAAATATAAAAATTTAATTAAATATAATAAAAATAAAAATTTATTTAAAATCTTTTAAATAATTTTAATTTTTTTAAATATTATAATTTTATTTTACTTTTTTTTGAAAAAAGAGTTTGGCTTGACGAAGAAAACTTCTCTTCCCCTTCTTCTAAGTTGTGAGCTCTAAAAAGCCTAATAAAGTAGGTGGCGCGAAAACAACATCCTTCTTAGCCCATCTCAACTGAAAAACCGTTTTCTTTTCCCTCATCTTTTTTTCAAACATTTTTCTTTTTCTTTTTTTTTTTTATTTTTCCTCTTCCTTTCTCTTTATCTCATTTCTTCCTCGAAATAATCTCTCGCTTTTTATATCCCCTCCCTCTCTTTCCCACTTCTTTTTTCTCTTACAAGCAAAAATTAAATTAACAATAAATCCACTCGGTTTCCATCGGCCGGCGGAATATTCGCTCTCGGACCATTCGCCGGAGATCTGTCCTTTCTCTCCGGCGATAGCCCTCTTGGGTCCTTTTTATCTTCAAAGAATTAACGAATTTCTTAGGGTTAGTTTTTTGTGATTGAATGATTTAGAAGAATTTTGAGATCGATAAAGGTGAGATTTTTTTTTGTTATAAAATAATTTTATTTCTTATTTGTTTTGATATTTATGTTGAAATTAATTTTCAGCATTCTTCTTTGATCTTGCTTTTCTAGATCACCGAGTTAGGATAAAACGAAATAAAAAGAATTAAAATATACAATTTTTTTTAACATTAATTAGTTTAAAGTAATCTCTTCTGTTGCTATTTTTAGCAGTTGGATTCAATGAACAATCTCTGCAACTTTCTTACAACGAGATTTACATGAAACAGTTCTTTTTTTATTAATCACTGTATTTCGTCTTCAATGTTAGAGACATCACTCTGACAAATACAGACATTATTATGGGTTTTGGATTCTTTTTAATAAAGAAAAAAAAACCATCTTAATTATTTCAATTTTAATAAAATTTTAAAGCTTTAATCTTTGCCTGTGGTTTTCCATGGATTTTCGTTCCTCAATCTGGAAATATAAAAAAAAAAACCCAGATGGTCAATTCATAAATCATTGTTTAATTCAAAAACGATGTTTCTAGGAATTACTATGATTTTATCTGTATTATAATTTTTTTAATTGATATAAAAAATAAAAACTATTATTTAAAGCTTTTACTGTGAATTCATGGTGATGGACAATAATATTCTTGCACGTGGTCCTCCATGTCTCTTCCCATATCTTCAACAACATTACCACTGCAAAACTTCAATTTTTTTTTTCAATTGTTTAAATGTCTTAATCAAATGTGAATAGAAACAAACAAACTTACATTATTTCCTAATTATTAATTGCATTTTAAGTTTTTAATTGTTATGTTAATTTTACTGTCATTCAGTTAATCAAGCATCTGATCCCAAGGCAAAACTCCCATGCGATTAAATTTTTGGTTTTTTTTTTCGTAGAAAGATAGGACATATATATATATATATATTTTTACTGCAATTGTTTGTTGGGATCATTTTCATTGAATTCCTTTTCATGAAAAGCAGAAGAGAAAGAAATGAAGGAAAGGAAGAAGCCAGAGTGGGGCTGTGTATTTGTTTTTGTGAGTGAAAATCAGTGACCTCCATTCTATGGCTTTTTTCCAGCCCAGCCGACCATGGCATTCCCGTGAGAGAGACAAAAGAGTAATATTAACATAACAATATTAGTGACCATTAGAGCTCTCTCTCTCTCTCTCTCTCTCACTTATCCTACGCACCTTTCTTCTAGCTGTCTTTTTATCCTACACCCCACCACCAGGGACCAAAAACCAGTAGACTTGACAGTACATGGCATTTGCAATTTTGTGTGGGATTTAACCAAAAGCCAACCTACTGATGACCGTTAATGTACGTTGGACAGAATTCTACTGAAATTTCTGAAGGACACCCCCATTGTACCTGATGCAGTTTTATCAGTTCTTGGCCTCATTGTTTTGCTTGATCTGCTTGGATTTGGGTTTTTCTTGATGAATAGCCAATGTCCATTTCAGTTAATTTCTTGTAATACTCTAATTCTTCATCAGTCAGATCTGGGTATCTGTAAAGATGTATTCTTTTTCAGTTTTTTTCTTTTTTCCTTTTTTTCTATGGTGTTCATAATTATTCCTTTGCTTTCTGCCATTCTGTAAGCATCTAACTTTTGGTTTGTGCATTTGTGGCAGATTTGTTGCCGGGAAAAGTATCTTCTTTTTGAGCAACTGGTGTTATTCCAATTACTTGTGGGATTTATGTAAAGGTTAGGCTGCTAAACGTAGTTTAGTTTTTTTGTTGAAGAATCCCATCAATGTGGTCTTGTTTGGAGAGTTTGGATGGATGTATGTGAATCAGAGCAACGATTTCACAAGCTTGCTGCCGTGGATACCACAAGACCACCCCTTGTTCCTGCTGAAAAGAACAATGCACCACTCACTACCCGACGTCCTCGAACAAGGGAAGTTAGTTCGAGGTATAAATCACCCACTCCATCAACACCTTCTGGTCCCAGGCGTTGCCCATCTCCAAACCTCACTAGAACAACCCCTTCACCTTCCCAGTTGGTGCAAAAGAGAGCTGTATCAGCTGAGAGGAAGCGCCCCTCAACACCACCTTCACCTCGAAGTCCATCTACTCCAGTTCATGATTCATCAGTAGCTGTGCAGATATCATCTAGAAGGCTATCAACTGGCCGTATACCAGAAAGTTTATGGCCTTCTACTATGAGAAGTCTTAGTGTTTCATTTCAGTCCGATACTATTTCTATTCCTGTTAGTAAAAAGGAAAAGGAAAAACCAGTGAGTAATGTTTCCTTGGACCGCACTTTGAGACCCTCTTCAAATATGGCTCATAAACAACAGTCAGAGTCATCTACCTTATCACGGAAGCCCACTCCAGAGAGAAAGAGAAGTCCTCTTAAAGGGAAAAATGCACCTGATCAGTCTGAAAATGCAAAACCAGTTGATGGTTTGCCTAGCCGATTGATAGATCAGCATCGATGGCCTAGTAGAATAGGTGGAAAATTATCTTCCAATACATTGAACAAAAGTGTGGATCTGGGCAATAAGATCATTAAAAGTTTATCTACACCAGTTCCAGGAATGGGGTTGTCTTCACTAAAGAGAATGCCAATGTCTGATAGTTTGGGTAAACCTCTACAGAAATCTGTTAGTGATGCTGCAAGGTTGTTACCACTTGAGGAAATTGGTCAAGTAGGGTCTGAGGCAAATTCAATTGATGGTAAGCTTCTGCGGGTAACTGAACCTGCTAGGCTCCTTTCTGCAAGTTCATTGGATAAAATGACATTAGCAACACAAGGGGTTAAATCCCAGTCTTTGTCTGCTCCTGGATCACGACCTCAGTCACCAAGTAGGACCTCTGTTTCTAGGGGTGTCAGTCCTTCTCGGGCAAGACCTTCCACTCCACCTGCAAGGGGAGTCAGTCCAACTCCAAGGGGAGTCAGTCCATCACGGATGAGGACATCCTCTTCATCTAGTCAATCCCATACTTCAACATCAGTTCTCAGTTTTATCGCAGATTTTAAGAAGGGAAGAAAAAGTGCAAGCTATATAGAGGATGCTCATCAACTGCGGCTTCTTTACAATCGTTATTTGCAGTGGCGATTTGCTAATGCCCGGGCAGAAGCTGTACTGTATATTCAGAAAGTTACCGTGGAGGTAGATTTCTTCTCTGAATGAACAACTCTGTGTCAGCAAATATTAGTTTCAGCAAGGAGATAATCTTGGATGGTTTGATTAGGAAAGTTTTATTTCCGTTGTTCATTTCTCCAATTATAAATAAAGAGGATTTTCAGATTGTTCACTTCTTGGCATGATGGTCCTCAATGATCAGTTTCCCACCATGAGGAATTTCATGACAGTGTCATATGCATATCATGTGCTTAGAGCTTTAGAAACGGCATCAAAAGAGAATTTCATCTTCTATGATATGGTAAATCTTTTATCAAAGAAAATTTTGATCTGTTGTTGCAGGAAACTTTGTACAATGTTTGGAATGCTACTTTGAGTCTGTGGGATGCTGTGATCAAGAAAAAGATCAATCTCCAACAGTTGAAGTTAGAGCTCAAGCTGAACTCAGTTTTGAATGATCAAGTAATGCTTCTTTCTATAGCAACATTGTCCTTTCATAGCAAACTTTAATTCCTCTTCTACATTCTTGATGTTAGATATGCTTTTATATTTTAAGATTGACATTATAATAGCAGTTTATGTGCATTTTTCCTAGTGAAACTCTTAGTGAAGACACAGGGAGGTATCCAGTGCATGCTTATGTATCTTCTCTCATCTGTAGGTTTAAAATTGTTATATTTTGGGGAACCTTCCTTTTGGTGGAAATGTGGTTATCATTAAGCTATGCCTTGGTCCACTATATAGGTCTCTTGTGATCGAATAGTTATTATCATATAATAGTTATTAAAAGCCCCATTTAGATCAATACAGGACAAATTTTATATTTCATGGTTATAGATAGAGATATATAGAATTGTTTTGGGCCTTCAAGCTTCTTAAATTTGGCGGAGATACTGATTGGAATGAAGTTAGTTGTCTTGTAAAATTGTAAATTATTATCTTCTAGTTGTGCTGGCCTTTTAAGAAAAGCCATGACTGGAAGCTCATTCTGCAGAGTTTATTTTGCCCCAGGCTTCAGAAGCATCTGAGGAATTAGAAGGTTTTCTACATATGGATCCAGTCCATAGTTTGATGCTATCAGAAGTACCAGTAATTTACTGCTGACATGTAATTCCAGTTTGATGGGCTCTAAAAAAATCTTTGATATTTAAACTTTTCCATCTCTGTTGGTGCTAGGAACCTTCTAGATTCAAATATATTCCGCATCCCCATATTTAAAATGCCCACTTAGTCAGCAAGATTCAGTAGATAAGACAAACTATAAAATTTTAAGACCTAAGAAGATTAGAAGAAGCTTGGAGGGAAAAGGTTTTCATTAATGCAATAAAATATTATTAGAGTAGTGAGAAAAGAAATTTCACATCAGTTGAAACTTGGGGTATCTTGAACATATAAATATAAAATGGACCTCTCACCTATTGCCAATTAGTTTCAGGTCGAATGCCCATCTAAAATTTAACATAGTATTAGAGCAGGCACTACCCTCACTCGTTGGCCCCTTCGTGATAGGCTTATTAGGCTAATGTGTAAAGTCCATGCCGCATGATGGGCCCATTTTCCCTACATGTGAAGTTCATAGCATGTGATATGTCTATTGTCCCTACACATGAGAGGGAGTGTTGAAGTGGTGATAAAATAAATCACATTGATCAAATTGGGTGTATCTTGGGTACATAAATGTAGCAAGGGCATCTCCACCTATTGCCAATTGGTTTTAGGTTGGATGCCCATCTAAAATTTAACAAATATCAAATTGACCTTTTGTTGCATAAACATGGAAGGTATATCAAGAAGACCAGGTGTCAAGTGTGCATCTGGTAAAGATGACTGTGTGAGACATATGTCCACTATGATTCCAAAGTGACCTTCACTTGATAACTATTATGTGTTTATACAAATATTGCCTTGTTCCTTGCTTGCTTATGAGCCTGTAAATTATTTCTGTTAAAATTACATTACAGTTACAATTTTATATCAACATTTTCTGATCCAATATTTTGTATGGCGATTAATATTGAATTGATGGAAATGACAGATGATTTACTATCTACATGAATCATATAATTTCATTGCTTACATTTGGAACAATTGCTTCTGATCAACAGCTTATGTCTCCAAAATTTAGATATAAGGAGTTATCTTACATCCTTTTAGAAACATCTTCTCATTTAAGAATTGGAAGAAATTAAATATCCTACCTCAGCCATTTAAGAATATTTTCTGACATGTGCAAAAGAAAAAGAATATTTTCTGACAATCAGCATATCAATATAGATTCTTTCCACTAAGCAAAAATTTGTAGGCTTTCCCTTCTAAGCATTTTGTAAGAGTATAGGTGTACCAATATTTTCTTTTAGAGGTATATCTGGATTGAATTCTCAAGTTGTACACACCAGTCCATCTTCAACATATTGCAGCTAAATAAAAATAAAGCTGTGAGTAGGATGCCATTCTTTTTTTGTTTTTGGTCTCACTTTCAATCCCATTATTTGTCTCTTTCTGCTGTTCTTCCTCTCTTTACTCTTTTCCTTTCCCATACTGCTTCAGTGTGACCTAGCTCTTTCTTTCTTATCATTCAAGCACTGCTGTATTTTCCTTTCCCATCTAAAGAACTTGTTATGGCTTTTAGCAGGGTCTGAGATCTTTGTTCCTGACTTGTGCTGTACTTTGAAATTTGTAGATGTTTTGACATCATTCCATCTGTCTAAGAAAAGAGCGTGTAGTTAATGACAAAAGAAAACAACTATAATCTATTTCATTTTCCTCTTTAATCTAGCGAAAAGATAAAAGTAAATTCCAAGCATGAGATAATGTGTACGCAGAAATATATTCAACTTTCAGTCATGCTTTTGAATACCAATTTGTAAATTTCTTATGTCAGTCTGCAGGATTTCCATGATCTAAATACATGTATATACATTATTCATGCAGATGGCATACCTCAACGATTGGGCATTACTTGAAAGAGATCATCTAAGTTCTTTATCTGGAGCAGTAGAAGATCTGGAGGCAAGCACTCTCCGTCTTCCTGTAACTGGAGGGGCAAGGGTAAGTTAGTTTAGAAAAAATATGGGATTGATATCTAAAAAGAGAAATCCTGACGTCATTGCTGGATTTTGTACTCCCCAGGCTGACATTGAATCATTGAAAGTTGCTATTTGCTCTGCTGTTGACGTGATGCAGGCTATGGGATCGTCCATTTGTTGTTTACTCTCAAAGGTATTTAGCTTCCCAAGCCACTTTTCTTTTCCCTTTTTTGTACATAAATGCTGACATTATAGGCAGATAGAACAAATATCAATGTGGTAGTCTTTACCTACCAATACTATTTTGATTGAATGTCTATCAATCACAATAGTGATTCTGAATCTTGCTTTTTGTTCCTTCTGCTTAATTCTGTAATTCTTAGATGTTTTCTGTTATTTGATATTGAAATTTAATATTCTGATTGCTTTTATATCTTCCATGACAATTTAAGTTTTGGTACAAGTAATGAGAAGTTTTGTTTCTGTTTATTTTACTTTAAGGTGTTGAGAAAAGTGTTTCTCACAATTTCAACTTAGAGGATATATGTTCGAATTTTGAAAATATTTTTATTTCTTACTCTTCTTTTGTGTCTAATGCTTTGGTGAAAGCATATGCCTGCTAATGACTCAAAATTTCATGGCAACAACTCTGGTTTTGGTCCTGTGCTGCTCCAATATGTGAAAAACTCTGGATTCTGATATTAGCATGCACTTCTCTTGCTGTTATGTCTTTTTATATCTTTGATTTCTTTCCGGATGCTTAACTGTATGTCAATATTTTATGTGTGGTAGGTGGAAGGGATAAACAATTTGGTTTCTGAGCTTGCTGCGATAGCTGCACAAGAGAAAAACATGCTTGACCAATGTGAAGCTCTGTTGGCTTCAACAGCAGCTATGCAGGTAAGGACACATTATATGCTTGCAGAACTTGACTTTTTGGAATAAATGACTATAAGTTCAGATATCTTGCATTGACAAACAATTAGCAAGCATTTTTTCTTTTACGTGGAGCTATTATTTGCATGGATCAAAGTTTAACCCATAGGATTATGAGATGATTGACTTCTGTAGCTGCATATGGTATTTGTGATGGTTTAATGCATTACCTTTAGAATGAATAGCTCTAAGCTTTTAGAATCAATGAACTTCCAAATATATGCTCATAAGACATCATCTAAGCATGCCTTATAAAAGAGAGATTTCTTCCAGAGTTGACCTATTAAACTCCTCCAAAGTTAAGATAATGTGATGTTTATTTACTCTGTTGCAAGGACTTGTAAATATTGTTTATGTAATGAGAAATCTGACAAAGCTTAAGGATAAGGTTTTTGGTTATTTTCTTCTTGAGAGAGAGAAGGGAGGGAGGTTGAATTTGAATTTCAACTGGTTAGTTAACTCCTGTCACATACGGAACAAAGACATAGTAGGATCCATGTAGCCAAAGCCAACCTTACTGTGGGAGAAAGGCATTTATTTGGTGTTAAGTTGACTTAGCTCTGGTTGATTGCGCTGAGGCTGTAATTTATTTTACCTTTTCATAGGGACAGGAAAGAATTTCAGGTATGAAGCTGATGTGCAATACTTGGCATGCTCAAAAATGTATGCCAGTGGGGACTGTAGGTCAGGTCTTTCTGGTCCATATTTGTTTGAAACTGACTGTACTTGGGTGCACAATTAGTTTTAATTAGTTTCATGTTTTAGCCTTTCCTACTTAAGTTAGACACTAACCTGGTTAAATTTTGAAGTGTTTAGAGCCAATTAATGCTTACTGTCAATGCTTCAGTATTCTCTCTTCATTTGTACATTGGTCCTTTTTTCAATTCAATTGCTGTAAATGTGGCCAATCCATGCTATCCCTATCAAAGTGGCTGGCCAGTGTGAGCTCATCATTGCTCGCTTGGCTTTTAAGAAAGATCATCTCTCTTTTAAAGTTCTTTTTGTGCAAATGTGCCCTTTGGGCTGGTGAAATAGATTGTGCAATTGCAAGTTCTATTTTCTAAAGTATATATTTACTTTTATCCTTTTCCTTGTGTATCTTTGACACTATATTTTACCGTTATTACTGAACAGTTAGAAGAGTACAGCCTAAGATCTCATATCATACAAACAAAACCACCTTTGGAGAGGGATAAGCAGCCAATTTTGGCAGCCAAAACATTTCCATGGCCCTGACGAGCTGGTATGCTAACAGTCTGCCAATTTATCATTTAAGTCAGATAAAATACAAAATCTGCTAAGTTCCGAGTAAATGTAAATTGTCTTTTTTTTTTCCTTAACTTAAATGGTAATTTTTTCTTCTTTAATTTCTTACCTATTAAAAAATGGAGCTACCGGCTCTGTTTCTTTTACGTGTAATTTTTGTATCACGCATATGAAAAGAAAATGCAAAGGAAGCAAAGGATTTGAAATTCAATGTAGAGGCAAAGTTTAAGAGAGAAAGATGTACCCAAAAAGAAAAAGTTTGAAGATGGAAAAAAGATGTAGAGCTAGTTTACTTGTAGACTTGTATGGAAGTTTCTGTTGCATATCAGGTTAGAGAATCATTCTTAATTGTCACATATTGATGTTACTGATTACCTAATGTTACACTTTCAATCTTCCAAGTTGAGATTCCGAAGAAACTAAGCAATATTAGCTTCACTCAGAGGGAGAGAGAAATTGTTGAACACATGAACTATTACAATGGTGGCTCTGGTCCACAGATTCTTAGACTAATACCCAGTAGTTCCTGATTTTAATCAAATGGTAAATGCTTCATGAGATTGGCAATGCTTGATAAGGAAAGTTGGCTTAATTCAAAGCCCTGGAAAATCTAACTGTTGCTACATAATTTTGTTGGAAGAAGAAGTCCATGGCTTAAGCCCATAGAGTTGGATAACTATGTAATGGTAAAATCAACCAATACTTTGATTGAAAATTGCTGATGTTCAACTGCCTTGTTTTACATTTGAAAGCTACCCAGGAGTGCTTAGGAATTTCATATTCGCCAGCCCTTATTCAATTCTAATGTTTATAGGAAAACATCATCATGAAATGTACATAGGGAATTTCATATTAGCCAAATAGAAAGCACAAATGTCTCTCTACCATAACAGCTAAAGGCTTACAAATTACAACCCGAATTTATTCATAATTGGATGATCAAAATGAGATGGGATTATGCTAGTATGATCGTTCACTTGTCATGCTATTCTACCTCGTCTCATTCCCCTAAAGTTAAAACTTAGCCTCTTGTACACTCGTATCAGAGGCAAAGAAAGAAATAGTTTCACAAAAGGAGAGAAGCAAGCAAGGGAAAAGAACAATATTTACTGTTACATTGGGTTGATTTTGAATAGAGGATTTTGGCATTACGAACCGGGCTTTAATGGCACAGGCCACAGAGCCGTTGTCCGAACCCAGCTTCTTCCGGCCGTGCACGCAACCCTCCTCTATCCTTTCTCTCCATTTCCCGCCATTTTTACCACATTTCAGAGAGTTTGTATAACGGTAACTTAACCGCAAACACAAAGCAAAACTCAACTCTCATTGCAGAAGGAGGAGGAGGAGGAGGAGGCAGATGTTTAGCAAGTCCATTGCAAGCACTTACTCACCGACAAGAAGTCGAAACTTTTTCCTAAACCTCCTCAAGAAATCCACCACTCTTCCTCAGCTGACCCAAACCCACGCCCAACTCATCCTTAACGGCTTCCGAAACGACCTCTCAACCATAACCAAACTCACCCACCGTCTCTTCGACCTCAACGCCACGTCCTACGCTCGTGACCTCTTCCTCTCCATCCTTAACCCCGATCTCTTCCTCTTCAACGTCCTCATTAAAGGCTTCTCTAACACCCATTCCATTTCGCTCTATACCCATTTGAGGAAATGCACTCGTCTCAACCCTGATAACTTCACCTACGCCTTCGCTATCGCCTCTGCTTCGACCCTTTCAGATGAGAAAGTGGGGATGTTTTTGTACGAACATGCGGTTGTTGATGGGTATGGATTCGATTTGTTTGTCGGTACTGCTGTTGTTGACTTCTACTGCAAGATTTGGCGGGTTGAGCTTGCACGAAAAGTATTTGATAAAATGCCTGAGAGAGATACGGTGTTGTGGAATTCGATGATTTCTGGGTTGGTTAAAAATTGTTGTTTTGAGGATGCAATTCGGGTTTTTAGGAATATGCTTAAAGACGGTGGGATTCGGTTGGATTCAACTAGCGTGGCAGCAGTTTTACCGGCTTTCTCGGAGTTGCAAGAGTTGACTTCGGGGATGGAGGTTCAATGTTTGGCTTTAAAACTCGGCTTTCATTCCCATGTTTATGTGCTTACCGGGCTCATTTCTTTGTATTCAAAAGGTGGGGAGATTGAGGCGGCTAAGTTATTGTTTGGAGAGATTGGTAGACCAGATTTGGTTTCTTGTAATGCAATGATTTCAGGGTATACCAGCAATGGTGAGAGTGAGTGTTCAGTGAGGCTATTTAAACAACTCCTTGGTTCGGGTGAAAAGGTCAATTCAAGCACAATTGTGGGATTGATACCTGTGTTGTCTCCCTTTGGTTATTTAAATCTTACTAATTGTATCCATAGTTTCTGCGTGAAATATGGTTTTGTCTCGCAATCTTCTGTTTCAACAGCATTAACTACTGCTTATAGCAGATTAAATGAGATTGAATCTGCACGGCAGCTTTTTGACGAGTCATCAGAGAAAACTCCAGCTTCTTGGAATGCTATGATCTCAGGTTACACCCAAAATGGATTGACAGAAGCAGCAATATCTCTTTTCCAGGAAATGCAGATGTCTAAAGTTGGTCCTAATCCTGTCACACTTACAAGCATTCTTTCAGCTTGTGCTCAGCTTGGAGCTCTAAGTCTGGGGAAATGGGTACATGGACTAGTTAAAAGTAAGAGTTTTGATTCTAACATATATGTGTCAACCGCTTTAATTGACATGTATGCAAAGTGTGGCAGCATTAGAGAGGCTCGACAATTGTTTGATTTGATGCTGGGGAAGAATGTGGTGACTTGGAATGCAATGATTTCAGGTTATGGCCTCCATGGCCAGGGCCAGGATGCACTTAGACTCTTCTCTGAGATGTCACATTCTGGGGTTTCGCCAAATGGTGTTACATTTCTTTCTCTCCTGTATGCTTGCAGTCATGCTGGCTTGGTGAAAGAAGGAGAGGAAATATTTCGTTCTATGGTCCACGCTTATCAATTTAAGCCCTTAGCTGAACATTATGCCTGCATGGTCGACATCCTTGGCCGAGCTGGCCAATTAGAGAAGGCCTTTAAGTTTATAAAAGAAATGCCAGTTGAACCAGGTCCTGCTGAGTGGGGTGCATTGCTTGGTGCTTGCATGATCCACAAGGATAAAAAACTTGCCCATGTGGCTTCTGAAAGGCTATTTGAATTGGACCCAGAAAATGTAGGATATTATGTTTTGCTGTCAAATTTGTACTCAGCTGAGAGGAACTATCCACTGGCTGCTTCAGTCCGACAAAATGTCAAGAAAAGAATGCTGGCAAAGATTCCTGGATGCACTCTAATTGAGATTGATGAAACCCCACATGTCTTTACATCTGGTGACCGGTCCCATCCTCAAGCCACTGAAATATATGCAAAGCTAGAAAAATTAATAAGGAAAATGAAGGAGGCAGGGTTTCAGACAGAGACTGATACGGCATTGCACGATGTAGAGGACGAAGAGAAGGAGCTAATGGTAAATGTTCACAGTGAGAAATTGGCCATTGCTTTTGGTCTTGTTGTTACGCAACCAGGAACTGAGATTAGGATTTTTAAGAATCTCCGAGTTTGTGTAGATTGCCATACTGCTACAAAATTTATTTCCAAGATTACTGAGAGAGTCATTGTGGTTAGGGATGCTAATCGGTTCCATCACTTTAAAGATGGTGTGTGCTCTTGTGGAGACTATTGGTGATGAATTAATTATTCAGTTCATTGACTAAGATGGTTTGGAGAGAGCGGCAAATCAGGATTGAGTGCTGTCATCCAACTGAGGCATGTCATTCAAGCCCACCAGTCAACTTGGATAGAATCGTTGATGCCAGAGTTAATGCAAGTGAATGCAATCAAGGCTATGTTTTGACATTGCATACCTGTGTTCTATAATTGGCAAGTTTTCTAACGGTAGAACTAGGAGAATGCCAACAATATTCAAACCATTCAGTTGTTTGACATGAGTCTCAAGCTTTTGGCAATCTTTATATTTTCATCAGTCCATCCTTCCTGTTTCCTTAGGTCCCTGACGAAATGTTGTGCATAAACAGATTACGGAGTAACTTTTTCATGAAAGAGGTATTCTTCTTGCAATTTTGACTTCTTAGAGGATGTTCATTTAAACGGAAAAATTCTTTGTAACTGACTTCCATTAATGTGTTTTTATTGTTAAGTAATATTTTTTTCAATAAGCACCATTTTTTTATTTTGTTAAAATACTTGTGTAGTTGTGCTTGACGTGTGTGTACCATTTTTTCGAATTACCATCAGTTTTTGTGTGTGTGGTGTGGTTCTGTAAGAAGTTGATACCATCAGATCTCATAAGTCAAGTCCTAAGTACCAAAAATTAGAACACACCATGTGTTTTATTTCTTACGTTTTGTTAGTTATTATTTTGATTATACTTTTGGAAAGCCCCAATACTGACCATCATGACTTCTATTTTTCTTTCTTTTCTTTTTTTTTTTTTTGTTCTAATGGTTGGACTCTTGAAATACATTCTTTTTCTCCTCCTTTTCTTTTGACTCTTTCAATCCTAGTAAGAGTAAGATTCGATCTTAAACTCTTGATAAAATCACCATCAGTTGAAACCTTTATCTTTTTTCTTTTTGGTGAAATTGGCACTGTCATCTTTTAAGTCTTATCTTGTAGATTGGAAATGCCCTGTGATTGACATAACAATCATGCTATTGATCTTTCCAAGGAGCAAAGACAATTGGTTGCTTGTTCTAAACATTTGCCATTGCTTAAGCATACCCTCTCTCATATATGGCATTACAGTCATTTGCTCAACATACCATGCTATCTACACTGATAATTGGGTATTAACCCAACTACGCTTTTCTCGTAAAAGTCAATGGGTTAGAAGACTCCTATTTACTAGCAATTGATGTTGCCAAACTCCAAAGAAAAGAAGAAAATGAAATTGTATAGGTGATCACAAAGTAGAACTATTTTCAATTCAATGACAAAACTTGGTACAATGCATAGCACTAAACAAAAAATTTTCACTCTAATTTTATTCTTTGTTGTTCATCTCCATTTTGCTTGTTTCATACATCACATACCACATACTCGTAAGAGCAAGAATGTACATGTATAATCTTGAGAGCCACGCATCAAAAAGATAGGGAAAACAAATTTTTCAGCAGTTGATGCCGCATTGGGTCGTGTCAGGTCCCTTGGTTTTCAACACAAATGGATCAATTCGGACCCAAAGCAGGGAGAAGATTGAAGCCAATAGCACTGACCATATAACAACAATGGTTGGTGTCCTGTTCTGCCTCCCCATGAGACCTTTAAGGAACGGATAGAGATGTACAATCACCCAGAAGGAGAAGAAGAGCTTTCCAAAGAGAGGTCCCCAAGATTGGTATCCATTGTTTATGGCATCTGACACGCCTGCAACAACTCCAACTAGGTTGATGATTAAGACAGTGGTTGGAGGAATCAGGAGGGTTGTCCATTTGAAGGCGTACAATTCTCCGAACTCCTCATCATCTGTTGCCTTGGATGTGACAGTGAAATTAGTATCAATACCAGCTAGAACCTTCAGCAGACCTTGGACAACAGCAAACAGATGGGCTGAAATACCACCAATGACCCAAAATTGCTCGTTTCTCCACCATTCCTCAATGCTCACTCCACTCCACCTTAGCTCTAGAATACCAGTTGCAAAGATTGAAAGAAACAGGGCAATGAAGAGTAGACTTGCAAAGGTGCTTATCTGTTGCAGGTGAGAAGAAAGACCAAGTTAAAAATTAGCAGATAAAAGCTATTTAATCTTCAGTTAGCATTCCGTCTTCTATACTTGAATTGAAGAAATGAGAATCATTTATTTACCGGTGGCATTATGAATTTATCTGTAAGCAAACAGATTGCTGGAAGGGTACAATAGGCAAGGAGTGGTAAGGACGTGAAGGGGTAGATGGTTGTGTTGACATATGCAAATCGCTCAAGCCACCTGAGATTTCCTCCCTTGAAGCCATACCATGCAGGGCAGTGACGACTAAAGAAAATTTCAACAGAACCAAGCGCCCACCGAAGGACTTGGTTGAGACGATCTGAGAGATTGATGGGAGCTGAACCTTTGAATGCAGGCAACGTCGGCATGCAGTATATAGACCTCCATCCACGGCAGTGCATCTTGAAACCTGTTAGAATATCCTCTGTAATTGAGCCATAAATCCAGCCAAGCTGCACGTACACAAGACACAAAAATCTTCAGATGATTAGGTTTAAACTTGAAAACCCAACTATTCTATAAGCAGTAAGAAATATTGTTCTTCTTCCTAAATCAGCAGAAGTGGAATGTCATGAAATTTCAAGCGGTTGGCGGTACCTCACTACCCCATTCTGTTTTGTCTTCATAGCCACAACTAATTACATGAATGGCTTCTTTAAGCAGGGCCGCAGGGCTTGAGGAAGGAGGGACACCACCTTGTTCCATCAGGGTTGAAGTCACAAAAATGGCTGACTGTCCAAATTTCTTTTCAAAGTTCATCTGGGACATCAATAACTCCTTATCATCCTCCGTTGCTGTTCATATATAAAAGATTTTGAGTTAGGTGCGAAGGAACAAAAACTAGGGAAGCAGCTCAAAAATGGAAAACAAGAAAAGTGATCTTAACCACCCTCCAGGCTTGGCCCAGTTGCATTTCCGCCGTTCTTAGAATGCTTCTTATCCTTTCTGCGGCGTCCAAAGCAAGGGCAGCAACCACAGCTTGCCATCTTTGGGCGCTTAGGGCCCTTGGGAGGTTCATAACCATAGAGAGCTTGCCTTCTGAAAACACATCCTGTGCCGACATATACAGGGCCTTGAATACCATCTAGACCTTTCATGTTAATCTGCAGAAACCAGAGAAAAAGAATTAGAAATTGATTCATTTTGTCCCTGTATAATCTTAGTGCACAAAAAACAAGCATAAAGGCCCATTTGGCCATTTCAAACAGGGGGAAAGTGGAATTGTTGCTGCTCTTACATCAAAGAAAACTGTGTTTCTATTGGCATATCGATCGTGCCTATCAATACCATCGAATCTTTGAGGGAATTGGACATAGCAGACCTTTCTTCCAATTTGAGGGTCCATCAAGAAACACATAGCCTCTCTTACAGCCTTGCTGTTGTTTATGTAATGATCACAATCCAAGTTCAGCATAAAAGGAGCATTTGTAAGCACACCAGAGACGCGAACCTGAAATTTTACACAGCATTAACATAATTATTACCTCGTAAAGCAGGGCTTAGAAAGGAAGGGAACTTGAATTAAACACTAGTTCTTAAGATCTTTACAAGGGCATTCATGGCTCCGGCTTTCTTGTGATGCAGAAAACCCGGCCTTTTCTCTCGAGATACGTAAACAAGGCGAGGAAGCTCGTTTCCTTCGGTATCATGGCCTCCACTTTGGCCAAGAAATACTTGAATCATACCAGGGTGATCTTTAGTATTGTTTCCTGGCCATGGTGTCCCATCTTGCATGATCCAGCCCTCTGTAGGAACCTTCTGGGCTTTTGCTACAAGTGCATTAATCCTAACCTTGAATTCTTCATATTCTCTCTGTTAAACACCAAGAAAATTTGAACGTTAAGTAAATTAGTTCACTGCGGCTTAAACTCAATAGGTATCTTCAGGAGTTCATGTATACAAACCTTCATAGCTCGGCGCTCCTTAACAAATGTGGGTTGGACTTTGTCCTTGAGATAATCAACCTTTAAAGTGAAGTACATCTCAGGAGCTCGGGGCTCTATAGCAAACTTCTTGCAGAATGGCACCCATTTTCTAGCAAATTCAGCTGTTTCGGACAATGCTTCAAAGGTGAGCATGGAAGAACCATCATCAGAAATGTAGCAAGAGATCTTATCCACTGGGTAGTCCATAGCCAAGATCGATAGAACTGTATTAGCTGTAACAAGAGGGGGTTCCTTCATGGGATCGACCGTACTGACAAAGATATCTACAGGAGCAAGCATATTGGGCTCACCTTCCCTCTCATACCTGCATCAACCATTATAATTAAGTTTCATCATGGGGAAAAAAATAACTAAACTGTAGGTGAATTGATGATTACAGCCATATAAAGGATGTTCTTGAAGCATTTTGTTTTAGAAGATTAATTGTAAATATCTTCTGAAGGTATAAAATTTGATTTCAAGTTCTGCATCCAAGCTGTTTCAAATACTTACGGTGCTTCACTAGGATGCAAAATCTACATACCTGAGGGAAAGACGATCAAGATAGGTCTCACGATCAATAGGGAGCCACTTAGGGAACTGATCAAGGATCCAAGAAAAGGCAAACCAGATTTCACAGATGACAGAAGTTAGCCACAGCCCAATTGCATCATGGACCGGGTTCAAAATTCGATAGCGGAGGAAGAAAGCCAGGATAACTAGACGGGCCACAATCACCATACGATAAGGATTGATCTTGCTGGATGCTATTGGCACCTTCCTTGACAGTGGCTGCCTAGCTTCATCAAGCCTGCAAGAAGTTCACATTAAAAAAGACACATGCTGGTTATCAAACTGGCTCGGCCACGAGTTTCTTACATGCTAGCACTTGACAGCAATAAGTACTTACAAGGCCATGTCAGGGTCATTGGCGTCATCAGTTTCAGGACCCAGATTCCCTTGCTGCATCTTCCAATCATCCATCCTTTCTTTCCATCCTCCCTCTTTCTTTTCATCCCACCTTGCACTTCCTTTTGTTTGCAAATATATTCAGTGCAAAACAAATGGTAAAGACATTGGTTTTCTCTTTTGGTATGTTGCATAGTCAATTTGCACTACTTGGATGGAAAATTTTCAGGCATATACACAGATCACATGCATAAAAAGAAAATAATACAAGATTGAAAAAACATACCAGGTTCAGACATTGGATACGGGTGCACTCGTTTATGAAGCGAAGAATTTGACATGTTCTCCCCATAAGCAAGAGCGCCTCCTATGGGGAATTCCCCACTCACCTGCAACAATAGAAAAAAGATACTATTATTAACGCATTTCAAAGCAACAGGAAAATATTTTCATTTTGTATTATAAATCTTAATGACAAACAAAGAACTTTGCTTACCTGTCTGGATCGGACACCAGTTATAACTGGTGGGATTTGAGGACTTTCTTCATCTTCAGGGCCTCTTCCATAGCTCATCTTGCCATGCAGCATCGATTCTGCCACATTCCTATGCTTGTTCTGTTCATCATCAATGTTAAATTCATGTTCGATATCATCCACATCCTCTTCATCTTCATCTCCCTCCACCCTAGGACTCCCTATTCACAACATAATTCAAACAAAAAAAGATGTCAGTTCATCACTTCCCACAAGAATTAGTTAATAGCTGTTAATTTGCACCAAGCAGCATGTTTTGATAAAATATACCTTTGAGACGCTTGTATCTAGTTTTGCACTGAGGACACTGTTGAGTCCCTTCCCTCCTTTCATACTCATAGCAAGGTCTACAAACTGGGAAACCACATTCGTTGCAGGCCACAAAAAGATCTCCATCTACTGTCAGCCCGATCTCATCACCACAAATCTCGCACACTTGACCATCCAGGTTCTTCAGAGGTTTAGGCTGCACGCAACCAGCAAAACACGGTCAAAGAAAAAGAAAAAACAATTAAACTGTTTCATAAATAAAACCATGTTTTTTTTATTATTTGGCTATCTTTCTGCGTAAACCTATACCTCTTCATGGCCATGAATGACAACAAGTTCATTGCGGTTGTGAGAGCCGGCGACAAGTCCAGCGCTGGCTTCCATTGGTGGAGGGGAATGGAGGTAATGGGTGAGGAGTAAGGCAACGGAGAGGGAGTGTTTATGAATGAGAAGTATAAAGGGGTTGCTGAACATACGTTGCTCTCTCTCTCACCTAATGTGTCCACATTAAGGGATGGGGTCGTTGGTTGCAGAGTCTCCATTCCCTTGAAGTTAAGCTTTCCTCTATTTTTTTTTTTTCCAACTACCATCCATGCCCCCCCTTCTCTCCCGGCTTTTACAAGTTTCAAGCTTCAACGACCTCCCATCTCTCTATTTTCATCATTTTTTTTTCTTCTTTGCCTCAATAATCTTTAATTCTTAAAAGTATGATTAAATTCTAATATTTTAACAAATAATAGAAGGCAAAAATTACATTTGAATGTAAAGATTTCTTAATAAAATACATAATTTTTTTTATCTAGAATTATTTTCCTGTTACAATTAGTGTTATAGTTTAATTATTTGTTCATTTTTAATCATAATTGATTTTTATCTATTATATATCATTTGCTATTGCTTTTAATATATTTTTATTGAAAATTAAAAAAAAAGTAACAAAAATAACAATCCAACTGTTAATGTTGAATTTGCTGTACAGTTTGTTTCAAGTATATTTTCATTGATTTACTTGGTGGTAATCCATGTAGTAGATGGATTGATAGAAGGGTGACAGTGAAGGCATCCAAATTTGATTGATATGAAATGAGACAGTAAATGTGATGTAATGGATCATAATCATTAAAATTTTGGGTGCCGAGAAACAATTTTCCAAGAGCATAACTTTGGATTATAATTAATGAATTTACATGAAGTTTATCCTACGACTCTGGCAGCCTAACATGAGCAGGGCTTCACCATCCATATATATATACTCTTTTGTTCAATTAGGAGGGGGATAGTACAGTTTGCTGCACAACAACTAGTGCATGCCATGGGATTAAAGCATTCCAAAACCGATTGGCAGCCATGATTTGTTTGGAAGGGACAACTATCTTGTTATACAACCCATCACTAAGTAGACAATGGGAAACACCAAGGCCAAGTAACTTAATATCTAAAACATGTCTTCAACTACTGTCAATTGTACTATACTAGGATGATACTAGTAATCGTAGAGGGAAGCTGTTAGCAGGTGTCCAGGCAGCTGGCGTTTCATGCACTTGGAAAGAAAATTGAAATACTAGTAAAATTGGACAGCAAGAGGGCCTCACATATACAATAAAAGCGCAAAAACCCATTGCTTTATTTGGTGGTGAAAATGGCGATACAATAAGAAAAAAAAAAAAAAAAAAAAACACACGAGGAGAATGAATGCTTGGAAAGGAAGAACTTAGAACCAAAGCTAAGGTTACAATCGTTAGGTGGATACGTTGAACTCTCTCCATCTTCTAGACTGCGTACTTCTTCCGACTTTATAAACAAAATTAAGCCCACCGTTACGCATATAACACTAACAGCAATGCAATATAGTTTCTGCCTCCGCCCCTGCCCAGCAGATTTTTCTCTTACACTTACAGCCCAAATTCCAGGATCATCTAATCTAATCTCATCTGATTTCCCCCACCCCCTTTTTTCCTTCTAGTTTCTATTCCTGGCGAAATAGATTCCTTCCAGTTTGGGAAAACAAAATGCTTCGCTCACTAGCACCACCCATTATTAATTTGGGAAGGCTTCCATGTGAGCTTACCACGTGCAAGACAATTTACCTCCTCTTTACTCATTTTTATGCTAGCTATGTTTCTTAAAGTCACTGCCCAAATAATCTATTAGGCTTAAGACTAAGAGCCATCAGACCACAACCAACAGCATCCTCGCTCTTGTCTGGAGTAGTCATTTTATTGTTATCTCTCTCATGTGGTTTACTATGAGCCAAGATAAGTTGCTTCGACAGTGGCACGTAGTATTAATCTTCTCCTCCACAGTTTTCCCTGCCGGCCTCGCAATGCATCAAGTCTCCCAAAACTAATATGGGTTAACTCCATTGGTAATTTCTTTTCTCCCTGTGAAGTACAGCAGCATATCTTACCTTGGGCTTGAGGAACTGATCACATCCATTTACCCCCGGAGAGAGAAGATATTCGCACCAAAAAAATAAGACAATCTAATAGATTTACCGTATATGCTCAAGGTTGTACATCACTGAATTCACTTGGAACAGAAAAGAGGAATACCATGAGAGATATTCGATTATTGTCCTACAAACTGTTACAAGTTTTGATGTAGAAATAGTTGCTTTGTTATTAAAATCTTAATAAACATTTGATACAGGGTGTGACACGCTAATATAATATACAAGACTTCCCAAGGACAAGGCCCACTGCCCTAGTTGATGAACATAAATCTAACCGCCCACTGCCCTAGTTGATGAACATAAATCTAACCGCCCACTGTTATACTGCCAAAATTCTCTTCAAGATTTGATCGTCAGACACCAGCTGAGACTTCGTTTTTGGTCAGTTTATCATTTTTCTTTCCTGGATCTTGAGCTTTTTGCAGAATTGCCTTATTTGGAACCAAAACTATGAATATATTCCTGTCTCTGAAGTTTTTGCTCTCCTCAGTTGCGAGCTGCAGATCAGAATGGACATTAGAGTTCGGAGTTCAGAGAAGCTTTCAGGTAAAGCAATATGAATGACAAATACAACGAGAACAGACGCATTAAACAGCATAAAGATGCTTGAAGGGGACAAACAAAACACCATTGACAAGTGAAAAACCAAATACCACAATCAAAGAAGACAGTTGCTTATTAAAGTATAAGTTGTTCACTGATCATTCCCCCTTTATTCTTATCATCCAGCCACACATCTTATCTAATCTGCTAAAGAACATTCAATGACAATCCTCTGCTTGGAACTATTTGATGACATTTTTTGAACAAACTAAGAAGCATCCAAAACAAATGACCTTGGTTAAACTACGATGCAAGTTCTTGCGCTACCTCTGATTCTGGAAATGCTTAAAACATTTTCTTATTCAGCTTGGTATATGCCACCTACACATAATAATCAATTCATATTTAACCTCAAAACAATCTATAGCACTGCACTATTGGAAATTTGAGAACTTTATATGATGATTTTTTCTCTGTTAATCTTAAAAGTTGCATATTCATTATTCAAGGATGGGAAAAGATATTTCATGAATGTACCTCCCCAACATCATTCTGGAAACGCCTAATGAGCTCCATAGCCATATTTCTGAATTCATTTTCTCGCCCTTTCAAGTTCACTATGACCTTAACCTGAAAGCATAGATCAAAATACTTCAGCGAAATTGAACTCCAAAGCATAAATCAAGCATGAATATGCAACTATAATAAGAAACTTGAAACAACCTTGTCACCATCTTTCAGAAACTTCCTTGCAGCTTTCAAACGTACAGAATAATCATGTTGATCAATGTTATAACTGTTCAAAACAAACAGAAACATTTAGAAAGGCCACCAAGAGCCCAAAAATAGCTATTCATTATAGCTTCAGAATGAAGTTCTTGATAGAAACCTCAGTAAAAATCAGCTACCCTCTCAACCTTTTTACCCCCAGGTGTTAATTAAGAAGATAGATCTGATAGAATAAAGCCAGTTATATATCAAGGAAGTAAATAGGCAATGTAGGACTTAACAATCAGTATTCCTCAGTTTACTAAGATAGTACCATTGGCAATTTAACACCACCACAGTAAATGATCACAACTTTCTACCTCTAGTGTTAATACAAATGGAATGAAGGCATTTGTATATCTCGGAAGCCACTAGTGACTAGCCTAAAGCCCTATTAGTTTCAGACTCTTTCTTTATTTGCAGAATTCAACAGGGGATATACTCAGCCTCCAGATAACAGCTCAATGTAGGTCAAAAAGATATTAAAAAGCAGAATTATAGTTCATTTACCAAGTCATCAGTGTTAGAAAGCAAACTTATATGCCCACTCATAGGATAATAGGAGTCAGACAGGGGTCATCAGTGTTTGACAGAAAATTTTAACAGGTAGCAAATATCTATGAAATGTGCTCATGAAACAATTTTGCCACAAGAAACCTGTTTTGTATCTGTGGATGATAGTTTGCCACTAATAAAAACCAAGAGACAGAGTAATATAATAAATACCAAAAAGTTGTGAGCTTCAAAACAAATAACTACATTGAAGCATAAAGCAAAACACATACCCCATTTTGAGCTCCTTCAAGTCCATGCGATTGGCTGACAGTTAAAACCATAGTCTAGTCAGCATCCTTCGTCAAAAAGAAAAGTTTAATCATGAATCAAAAAGAAACACACAGGGAAGTGCTAAATCCACAGTCATTCTGGCTGGGTCCACAGAATCATATCATGCTGATATTAAATTAGAACAGAGCTGCTTCGCCACCAGCCTGATGATATATGACTTTAGCATTTCCCAAAGAGAAAACTTAACAGAGAGAACATTCACACGCACTTTTTTTCTGCTGTAATTTCTTCTTCTTTTGCTGTTCATATTTATACTTACTGAGGAAAAGGTAAAAGCAAGTATTAATACACTGCAAAGTGAAATTTCAAAAGAAAAAGAGATATAGAAATTAAGACTTCTAATTTATAAGTGTTTTTAATATCAGCCTAATAGTGCTGTGTTCATTAAAGTAGACATGACTGATAGATAAAGGACAGCATTTAGACATCAATTATGTAAAAATTTAGATTCAAATTTCAAATTCTTCAGTAGGGTAGATAAACAGGCTTGCTAGACTCAACTGATTGTTCCCCCAGCCTACATGAATAAAAATACACCAACTCATATTATTTCTCTCAAGATAGCATAAAGCATATCATACTTATAATCCATTATTCTGACAACTGGAGGATCTGCATCAGGGGATAATATCACCTGCAGAAGTGGTATTAGAACAAATTTCAGTGTCACCATTATGCACAAGAAGTTCGAAAGTGCCTTTGCTTTCTAAAAGAGAAAAGAAAAAAGTTATGAGTTTCGATCTACTAAGCAAGGATGTATTGGCTACTTAAGTAAATTCTTTTCACTTCAAAAGTACAACCAAAAACAAAAAACAAAGCAAAGCAAAACTGAGACAATGAACAGTTGAAAGTATAGTACAATACCAACTTGAATGTCTCTACACAACCTTAAGCTTTCGATTCTAAGGTATCCACTTAGAGCAAAGCAGATTGTATGTTCATAGTGCCCTTAACAGAGACCGGCATTAGCACAATCACGTAGCTCAAACATGTAGTTGATTGTTTCATATTAATTTCTTCCTACTCAATCATTTTCACATCAAGTCTTCTCGAGAGAGAAATAAAATAATCTACTAAAGTGAGCTGTAACGAACTTTAAGGGTATAAGCTAGCAGCTAGAGAATTAGATAGCAGCAGAAAAATTGGCAAAACCAAAACCAAACAAGAATTAATGAATCCAATGATGATCATATTTAAAACTGACAAGAACAAAGGAAGAAGAGCTACAAAACACTGAAACCTACTCAAGCATGTTTCTGAACACAAGCCTACTCAAGCTGCAAATATATAAGCAACTATGCATTTCTTGTTCTGCCTCTATCCATCTGTAAACAGGCGCAAGGTCTGCAACAAGGCTTTGCTTTACCTTCATGTAGCCACAAAGAAGAAGAACTACCATAACCCAGATACCTAAATTATGGAGTTTAAATTACAAGCATCAAGCAACCCAACTAAGCCACTTCATTGAATTACATACATTCTCAGTGTATATCACACAATGTAGGCATGTAATAGGACCAATTGTACAACACAGAAATACCAAAGGGTCCATTACCTTTACGACTAGCTTTTTTCCATCCAAAAGCAAAAGCAAAAGATGTTTTTATATATGAAAGCAAATAATGTTTCTGAATTATTAAACTGTAAAGAACAATGCACGATTCTACTTTTATATGGAACAAGTACATCTGAATGAGTTTTACACTTTAGCTAATTTGCTCATTTTTAATGAAATATAATGTTTTTTCTACTGTTTACTTTTCACCTTTAGCTTTTTTAACCAAAAAAAAAAGTAAATAGGAAAAATCAAGTAGTCAAAGCAAGAAACCACAAAAGCGGTGCACCGAGAAAAGTATTACCAAATCGAGCTCCGCATCTTCAGCCATTTCAACGGCCTGGCTTTTAGAAACTATCCCAACCTACACATTAACAAATTAAATAAATTTCAGAACAAAAATGTACATATATATAATATTCTAAATAATGCACAAGTTGCCTTCTCGGCAGCTAAAAATTACAAAGAGAAAAGATAAAAGAAAAATCCACTGACCATATTCTGCTGCTCATCAATAAGCCTGACAGAATCTGACCTACACCACAGCAATGAAGTAGGAACAAACACAGCCTTTAAACTCAATTCAAACACCATAGAAAGCTACTCAAAAGTTGCAATTAATCAAATAAAATAAATAAATAAAGACCTAATGCCAGATATATCAAGGGCCTGGTCTTCATCATTCCGTCTGGACCGACCGGGACCTGAAAACCGAGAATCACCTCCGTAACGGGCAGTTATAGCAGCAGAGCAGTGAAGAGAAGAAGAAGAAGAAGAGGAGGAGGAGGAGGAGAAACTATTGGGGTTGCGGAAATGGAGCCCAAAGCGCTTAGATTCAAGGGAAGAGAGAAGTAATGGTATTGTTTTGGTGGGTCTAGTTGGGAGGGGCTTGAAAGGGAAGCTGGAGGCGATCCCGGCCATGGCTATGCTTTGGCTCTTCTGAACTCTATGGGGAGCTTGTCACACGCGAAAAAGGGCATATGCTTATCCTGAAAAACAAAGTAACGAATTTTTGTGAGCTATGACCATGAGAGAATGGACTTTTTGGAACTTTGGGCCCTGAAAAGTCCAACCCATTTAGCATATTGCTGTCATTTTGAAATTTGTTTTTTATATTTAAACTAAATCAATTTCATTTAGTAATGAGAAAACTACAAGTGATTCAACTTGCAAAAGAGGAAATCTACCAGTTATAATAAGATTCACTTAGAAAAGGCTTTAACTTGAACAATTTTACATGGAACTGAGACAGTACAAAACAACAAGAAGCACAATTAACTAGAAACTCAACTTAACACACAAAACTAGCCCCAAACTGAAGCCCCTGAACCACAAGGCAAAAACTTTTTCTTCGCTTCAACTTCAATCCACCTCCTCAATCTTTGGTCCAGGGCCAGAACTAGACCCCGACCCTGTATATTCACCACCACCCATCGGCACATCACCATTAGCGGCACCACCCTGATACATCTTTGAAATTATGGGATTGCAGATACTTTCCAGCTCCTTGTGCCTGTCTTCTAACTCATCAACTTCAGCCAACTGGTTCCTATCAAGCCACTCAATGGTCTCCTCCACCGCCTTCTCGATCTTCTCCCTATCTTCAGGGCTCAGTTTCGCTGCAAATTTCTCATCCCTCACCGTGTTCCTCATGTTGTAAGCATAATTCTCCAACGCATTCTTTGCCTCCACTTTCTTCTTCACTTCCTCATCCTCTGCCTTGTACCTCTCTGCATCTTTCACCATCTTCTCAATCTCTTCCTTGCTTAACCTTCCCTTATCATTGGTGATCGTAATCTGGTTCTTAACGCCAGCTGTCTTATCCTCAGCAGTTACATTCAATATCCCATTTGCATCAATGTCAAAGGTAACATTGACTTGAGGAACACCTCTTGGAGCTGGAGGGATACCAGTAAGCTCAAATTTTCCAAGCAAATTATTATCCTTGGTTCGTGCTCGCTCTCCTTCATAAACTTGGATCAAAACACCAGGCTGATTATCAGAATAAGTAGAGAAAATCTGTTCCTTCTTGGTTGGAATCGTGGTGTTTCTTGGAATCAAAACAGTCATGACCCCACCGGCAGTTTCCAATCCAAGACTGAGAGGAGTAACATCAAGCAACAACAAATCTTGCACCTTCTCATCCCCTTCACCAGTGAGAATTGCAGCTTGAACCGCAGCGCCGTATGCGACAGCTTCATCAGGATTTATACTCTTGCAAAGCTCTTTCCCGTTGAAAAAATCTTGCAACATTTGCTGAATTTTGGGAATCCTGGTTGACCCACCCACGAGAACTACCTCATGAACTTGACCCTTATCAATCTTAGCATCTTTCAAACACTTCTCCACTGGCTCCATACATTTCCTAAACAAATCCATGTTCAACTCTTCGAACCTCGCCCTTGTAATCGTAGCATAAAAATCAATCCCTTGAAACAAAGAGTCAATCTCAATAGTCGTCTGAGTAGTCGAAGACAGAGTCCTCTTAGCCCTCTCACAAGCCGTCCTTAACCTCCTCAGAGCTCTAGCATTTCCGCTGATATCTTTTTTATGCTTCCTCCTGAATTCAGCCACAAAGTGATTAACCAACCTATTATCAAAATCTTCACCACCAAGATGAGTATCACCAGCCGTAGCTTTGACTTCAAAAATCCCTTCTTCAATCGTCAACAACGAAACATCAAAAGTACCACCTCCAAGATCAAAGATGAGAACATTTTGCTCGCCTTTTCTCGAAGCCTTCTTATCCAAACCATAAGCGATCGCAGCAGCCGTTGGCTCATTGATAATCCTCAATACATTAAGCCCAGATATGGCACCAGCATCCTTGGTAGCTTGCCTTTGCGAGTCATTAAAATAAGCAGGAACCGTAACCACAGCGTTTTTCACAGTATGCCCCAAAAAAGCTTCAGCGACTTCCTTCATCTTAGTCAACACCATGGATGAAACTTCCTCTGCAGAAAAGTGCTTCTCTTGCCCTTTATAACGAACCACAACCATGGGTTTATCTCCAGGGCCTGGGATAACCTTGAATGGCCATAGTTTGACATCGCTTTGAACTGAAGGGTCGGAGAAACGCCGACCGATGAGCCTTTTAGCGTCGAAAACGGTGTTTTCAGGGTTCATGGCGACTTGGTTTTTTGCTGCGTCCCCTATTAAACGCTCGGTGTCGGTGAAGGCTACGTAAGAAGGAGTGGTTCGGTTGCCTTGGTCGTTGGGGATGATTTCGACACGATCGTTCATCCATACCCCGACACAGCTGTAAGTTGTGCCCAGGTCTATGCCTATTGCCTTGCCTTCAGTTTTTGTTGCCATTGTTGAAACCTAAAATGAACCAAAGAAGAGGAAAAGAGCGTTACAGATTTTGTTGATATTTTGTGAACAGACTGCAGAATCTGAGGTGGGTCTGGGACGGAACTTAGTTTTACAGTGTTTACAGCAAAACTTATCCTAGAAAGTTCCAGAAAATTGCAGTGCTCTAAAGGAAAATCGAGGAAGTTCTGGTGAGACCGATTTTAAGTTAGAGAAAGGGAATTAATTGCGTTGAATTTACCGGGTATCCTGTATTATCTGACGTAATTGTGGAATGAAACGATGGGTAGTTTGGGGAATTGAGATTATTTAAAATGCTGTGACGATGGGGGTGTTCAATTCTTTCCATTAGATTTTGGAAGGATCGAGGTGCGCCGTTTTGACATGCGGCTAACAAAAAAACTATGGATGGAAAAGGCAATGAGTTGTCAGATGAAATATGTGATTGACTCACGTGGCATTAGGCGTCAAACCAGGTTTTGGGTTGGGTATACGTGGCAATGGCCCAAGTTCGAATGAACACTTTGAGCCTTTGGGCAGAAGATTCCAGGTACACTTGCTTCTCCGTTTCCCTACACTGCACCATACGGGAAAACTATGACAGGCTTTGACAAAAGAAATTAATCAAAACAATATTAATAAGTAAATATCGCTTAAGAGTTAATATACTACTTCTATCCGTAAAAATCAATTGTATTATATTTAATTCATTGTTTGTTAACATAATCATTTAATTTTTATGTCCGTGTAGGGGTGAGCAAAATTATTCTAAATCAAAGTGAGTTTAATTTTTTTATTTAATTAAAATAATTTTTAGGATATTTGATATATGGTATTCAATTTAATTTCCGATTAGAAATTTTTTCAACTTAATAAACATAATTGATCTAATTGATTAATTATTAGAAATTTAACATTATATATTATATATTATATCTTAAGGTACTTTGTTTAGTGCATTATAATAATATTTTGTATTAGACACAATAATTAAAGTTAACGTAATAATTTAAAATGCATTAAATGAAAAATTATCTTATACAATGTCAATCGTCTCTTAATCTGCATAATAAATAGTAAAAATTGTCTTATGCATAAGTAGAATCTGTTAATTAAAAGAGTATTAAATTATAACAAAAGTCAAACAAATTAAATTTTAATTAATGCAGTTAAAATGTCACATTTATGCATTGGCTAAACCTCTGTTCAATTCTTTTATATTGTGAATGCAAGACAAAAGCTCCAAACAAATAGTACTTAAAACAAAAAATTTTAAACATTACGTATATAAAAATTATAATTCTTTTGCGACGTAGACGAACTTTTCGTCAGATGATAACATTACGAATATGTAAAGCATAAAGAACAATAATTTTAAATATTTGATATTACAACTTAAGATTGGAAATATTATTTATATTAAATTTAAATTAAAAATATATTAAATAATAAAAATATTTTAATGGAACCTACAATTTGGATGTTCTCGACTCCTATTTGAGTGTGTAACCCTTGTATTTTTTGGGCCTAAATACGGCCGATGCTTGTGCTAGTAAATGCCGAATTTTTCTCTACGATTTCTTCTTTCATTTCCCCATTGCTTTTCGCCTGCCTTTCTGGGATTTTATTTTTTAATTTTCCATTTATTTTCGAAATCTATTAGAGATTGATCAAATCAAGTTTTTTAATTTCTTAATTAATCAAAAATATATATTTTATTTTTAATTGATCAAATGTATATTTTTTTATATCTTCATATATACTAATTTTAATATAATGATAACTACAACTTTATATAATTTTATTAGTTATGATAACTCTAATAGTGAAATAAAATTTAAGTTAAGGAAATTAAATATCATTATTCATAAATTTATTTACATATACGTTTTATTTTTTAAAATATTTATGTTTTATTGTAAAAGTTAGGTATATTAATATTGTGAAATATTTTAATTTCATGAACATTTCATTTTAATTGTACGTAAACTAAAATCATCATTTAAAATATAATCTTAAACATAAAATTAGTTTATTAAAAAAACTTGATATCTTATTAATAACTAATATCCATTACTATTTATAATAGTAAGGTTAGTTTATATAATACTTTATTTATATTTTTAAAAATGATTTTATATAAACATATTATAAAACAAATAGAAGTTTGTCCTCACTTTCTCTTCCTATTTTATTTTCTTTTCCTAATTCAATTTATTAATTAATAATTTTATTTTTATCATTTTTTATTTATGCATAAAAGTTAAAAATTAAATTAACAAAATAAAAAAATTTTTACAAATGAGTTAAGTATCAAAATAATGCTTAAAAAAGTTTCTAAATTATTTAAAAATTTTAAATAAACTTTTATTCTTTTATTACCTTTAATTAAGTTTTTATATTATTATTTTTAACTAAATATATCTTTATAACTAATATTTAATTAATCGTTCATAGTCAAAATATTATATGTTATTTATATGCTTGTATGATGTTAATCAAAAGTGAAATTATCACATGATTATATTATCATATTACATCAACATATGAAATTATCATTTATTATGACATATCAGCATATTACAATATCACATAATATATAATAAAAATAATAATATTTTGATTAATAATAATTAATTATAAAAATTTATTTAATTTTAAATAAAATATAATTATATAATTATATGTAATAAAAAATAAAATATATTTAAATTTTTTTAAATAAATAATTTTTTAAAATATTATGTAAACATTTCCCCATTTTGATGGATCTAAGGTTAATTCGAATTGTGGTTGGGTGGATGAGCCTCCTCCTAATTTCCATTCTATTTTTTATTTTCTTCCTTGGGTAGCTACCATTTCAAAACAACATCCTTTAGTCTACTTAATACAAAAATTTAAAAAATTCTTAATCATACTTAATTTTTCCTTTTCACTTTCTCTCTAAAAAGACCCAAGCAATCCATCATTTTCTTCCTCTCTCCTCCCTCAAAGCGTCCACCGATTTTTATTTTTTTTTTCGAAATCAACTCTGTTTCTATTTGAAAAACTTGAGACTCCCTCACCTCCTTTTGCCATCGTCGCCTCTCTTCAGTGACGACGATGGCGACAACTCTCTTTTTTCCTTTCTTTGTTTATTCTCTCTCCTCTCCTTCTCCTCACCAAGAATTCCAAAAATATGATAATGTTTAAGTCAAGGCAAAACGAAGTCGCTTGGCCCCCAATTTAAAGGAAAAATTGAGAGGACTTAATTGCCTATAAGTTAATTAGACCGTCAATAGGAGCAGTAACTCAAACCTTACTTCTAATATGTATAATAATCATAGATTTCACTTATTTATGACTGAAGAGTTTATTTTTATACCCCTGAGTAACTGAAAGTTACTAAAACCTGATCACATGTGACAAGTCCATTCCCATTTACAGGCAAAGGCAAAATCTGGAAAATCAAGAGCAAGTTTTACTTGAAACATTGTGCTTTTTCGCTTTCTTTTATCAATGATTGCAGCTGCAGGCTACTTTTGGCGACACTGCAACAAAATCCCCTAAAAAGTCAAATAGGTATATTCTCATTGTCATTTGCCCATTTGCAAATTCTATGCAAAATCTATCCATACATGTTTAATTTGTAAAAGAAAAAAAAACCCAAGTTTCATTTAAGAAAATTAATGATCCATGTTAAGTTGACTAAATTAATTAAAATCATATGTTAGGACAATAAACAACTCAAAGGTGATACAACTTATTGTCTCCAACTTTTTTTTTCACCAAAAACCTATGAGGCTCCCAATCCAGGTTAAAGAGTACAGACCAACAAAATTTTATACCGTTCTCTCCATGTCCAAAATTACTGCAAAAGCTCGCCAAACAGTGCACAGAATGGCAAAATTCCCTACTATGGCCCAAGGGTATACGTGTCGCAACGGTGTTACTCACTGAGTTCATGTAGATTGCGAAAGTGATAGGCAAGCTTGAATCCGACCGGCACGTGTAGGTTTCGAGGTTGCTGTCGCGTTGAGATTCGGCTAAGACGGGGGGTGCATTTTAGAGGGGACCCAGAGGCGGTAACCGGTAAAAGTTAGGGCAAGAACACAAACGCACGCTCCCTCGTGTTATGTTTGGTAACGCAAGGGTAAGGCCGCCTAGGGTGAGTTTCATAAGGAAAAAAGAGCAGGTTCATTTTTTAAGGAAAAAAAAAAACTGATGTAAAAAGTATTTTTATTTTTTCAAAGTACCTTTTTTGTCCTTGTGTTATTCCCCGACATAGATGATGCAAGTCATAAGTTGATTCTCGAAATTACTTCTTTAGCCCTTTGCTTCTATCACATTAGTATGGTATTATGATATAAAAAATAGATATAACATTTAAAAAAACTTAAATTATTTTTAAAAATTCAAATAAATTATTTTTTTGAGTTTTAGCATTTTATTTTAATTTAAATAAGTTATTATAATCAATAATTAACTACTTACTATTAATTAAAATGATACTTATTATTTTTTATATTATGTAGTTTTGATATAGTATGTTGACTTATCATAGCAAATGATGACATTATATGCTACTATGATATAATAATATGATCACATAGTAGACTTACCTTCCATTATAATCAGTCACATGACATAATAATAACATGTGTCATTTTAACTGATAACATGCAGCCAGCCGTTAATTATAAAGATTTTTTTTATGCAAATAAAAATTTAAAGGCTTAATTGAATGTAGTAAAAAAATAATTTATTAAAATTTTAAATAATTTAAGAACTTTTAAAGTATTGTATAAAAAAATACTAAAAACATAGTATAACTCTAAGTGAGTTCTTATACAATTATTGTATGAGAATAATTCATTCACAATTATCAAAATTAGACTAGATAATGATCTGTTTAAAGCTCTAGGTTATTGGAACAATGATTCAATGGTTAAGTCATTCTAGTTAATTTCATATAAATAAAAATATTTGTAAATAAAATTATATATTATTTAAATATTGTGTATAATTATATAAATGATAATTTATGATTAATATTAGAAACATTCATTATCATTGAAAACTTACCAAAAAAAGAGTTAAGTTTATAAAATTCATTTTACTTTGTAGTTTTGTATAATATATTTTTATTTTTAAAAATGTTTCAAAAGATATATTTAAATGAAAAATAAAAAAAAATCAATAATTAGTACTTAAAATCTAAATTAGATATAATATTATAATCCTTTTTAGAAGCCAGATTAATTGATTTGGATTAATGAAAAGTACATATCATCTTTTTTTCATAAACCCAATGAATTAATGCGAGTTTATTCAAGTTAAATGTACAAAACAATCAATTAAAGAATCAACCCGAATAGAGGTTCGGCTCCCCATGTTGCCCATTTGATTTTTGATAATTATTATCTCATTCTTTTTGTAATATTTTTTATTTTAATTAAAAATATATTTGATTACAAATAATAATTTTTATGTATTTTTAGAAGATAATTAATATATGTAACGAATCTTTGATGATATAATTCTAAAAGTACCCAAAAGAAAGTCTTTGAATCAATAAAGTGATCAAAACAATAGATGTTCTATGTTTATATCTTGACATGAATCCATGTTATATCCTTATATGTACATTAACCTTATAATCATCATCATAAAAGAAAGAAAACCTTATGTATGCATTTTGTTTTGAGGTTATGATTTTCTTCTTCATTGCATTTTATCCCCAAGGAAGTTAGCTTTTTCTTTTTCAACTTGGTTGCTTTCTTTATTAAAGAAACATTAAACTAATCAGAGTGTTCATATTTGAAGATATATTTTTTTTAATTTTACTTATTTTTACGCTACGATAAAACCAACACATACGGACTTTGTAATTTCTAATAAAATTTTAGAAGGACTGGCATAAGGTTTGAAACATTTTACAAGGTAATATTAATTATCAAATTAACAAAAATAAATTTTTAAGCCATAAATAGAATTTGTATAAGGGTTTTAAAACTAAAACATTTAAATAAGAGTAAAACACTAGCAAAGGAGGAAGGGCAAAGTTGTCAATCAACGCCAAAGAAATCTTGGCAAGCCCAAAACCAACGAGGGTACTGATGTAATTATACATACAAACCTACAAAATAGTGACTGAAGAAAAAAATAAAAAAAGGTCTCCAAAAGGAGGGTTTGTTTTTCCTCGCTACCGTCCTCACATACTTGCTCCTCTTCTCTTCTCTTCTCCTCTTCTTTGCTCTCCCGCAGAAGAGAGGGAAAAACTTTCGTCTCTTCTCTTTCTTGAAAAACCAATTTTGTTTCTTTATCTCTTTATATTCAAGAACCTTTATTTTTTGTCCTTCCATATTCAGATTCAGCGTTTTACTATCGCTGAGTTTTTTGCCTTTTTCTGATCGGACGGCGGAGATTGAATCTCGCGTGAAAAGATCGAGGTATGCAGCAGGGTGATCAGACGGTGTTGAGCTTAAGACCTGGTGGTGGTCGAGGGGGCAGACTCCTTGGTGGTCCTTCTTCTTCTTCATCATCTTCATCTTCTTCTTCGTTAGCCTTTGGTTCCCTTTCCTCTGATCTTCCTCTATTTCGTCCTCATGGCGGTGCTCCTCCTCCCTTTTCCATTAAGGTTCAATCTTTTTATCCCTTTCTCTTCAAAACCCATATTTCAGTTTTATGGATCTAGCCTTTTTGATGTGATCTTTGTTGGTTTTGATTGATTTGGGTTGGGTTAGTTTTGCCTTGTAGATATTTCACTGTTGGATTCAGATGGGTTTTCTTTTTAAATTGTTCTTGTAACAGCTGTTAGGTAGTACTTTTTTGCGACTGAATTCTGAGCTAGATTGGATCTTTAGCAACTAGATGTGATTTTGTCATTGCTGTTATTGATTTATAATATATGTTTGAGATAAATATTGTTTTTCATTTTTCGTTTGAAAGGCTTTAAATTTATACCTTCTTGCTTTTACTATTACACTTGGTGTTTGCCAAATTTTCCTTGTTATTAATCATAAGAGAATAGAGTTGGATATTAGTAGACCTTTAAAAGAGGAAGAGTATGAATAGCTTTGTCCTAATTCTTGGTGGGGCACTTAGTATGTGTACTTGCTGTAAATATGGACGAAGATAAATATGTAGGCTTTAGGTGGGTAGTCTATGAGTTTCTGATTGCCCATAAAGGACCTACAAACATTTAGGATCTTATTTTTAAACAAATAGAGGTGTTCCAGTGAGGAAAGATAATGAACTTGTCCTATCTTTTGGTCAATCCTCTTAGCTCTGTTTCAATGGTTATCTATGAAATATTTTTTGATTTACTGGTGGTGGAATTTGAAAAATCTATAAGCCGGTTTAATTGATTGCCATGTCTTTCTATAAGTACAAATAAAGAAGTTAACATTAAAATTTTAAGTGCCCGCGATCAGTTAAACCCACTTGTGGATTTTTAAACTCTGCTGCTGGTGTGTAAAATAGTAATATATAGTTCTATGTGCCACTTGTATTTACTTGTGGATCCTCCTAATTGGAAAGAATAAGTTCTATTAATGAGTTGAATTTTATTAACTGTATGGACTTTTTGCGTATTAAGTAACCAAGTCTATATTGAGGATTGTGAAGTGCAAAAGATTTGATCTTTTGACGAACTCCTTATGATACAAATCATTATATTTCAACTATTGTGATGTCTTTTTATTTGGATGTCACTGAGCATTTGTGGAACTTATCTTTTTATTTTTATTAGATAAGTATGTTAATTTTTTGATAACCGTAATCTGAATTCTCCATATAAGTTCTTAGTACCAATTTAGAGTTTGTGTTTACTTTTATTCCTTTGTGCGCTTTATTCTTTAGACAGTGATCTGCTTGTTTACATGTTGCATATTGGAATATTGTTGGGTTGTAGAATCTGAAGATATCAATTGGTTTACTGTTGTAGGCTGGAGACACACGATTTGAGGGTCGTGAACGTGTGCGATACACTCGGGACCAGCTTTTACAGCTTAGGGAGGTACTTGTATAAACTTGTTCTTAGTAGTATACTTTATTTCTGCATCAATTAAAGTATTGTTAAATTTTGCTTCCAAAAACCAACCAAAAAAGACAAAAACATATGCTTTTTATTTGCTTGCAAGGGAGTTGTTCAATGTTGTTCGCACTCTGTTTCAATTATATTGAGTTGAAATAGCACAGTGTCACTTTTTGATTATTGTTTGATATAATCTCTGCTTATGCTGTTTGCCTTCTTTTAGGCTGTAGAAGTTGCCGATGAGATTCTTAAAATCAAACGAGAAATTGATGCGGAACTCTTTGGTGAAGATCAAAACTGGGGTCGTGGAGAAAGCAATGTAATCTCTAAGTTCTTTTTTGCATTTTATGTTTTGTTTTCTTATTTTAGTAGTAATTATTTGTCTTGATTATGTCTGTATTTTCCATTATTTCTGCCAAACCATCATTATTTGTTAACACTTGTTGATCCATCGTCTAAACTTTTGCTAGCCACCAAATCAGAGTCAGAACCGCTACTCCGAGCCAGACAATCGTGATTGGCGTAACCGTTCAGCACAGTTTCCTTCTGCTGGTGAGGAGAGGTCTTGGGAATCCCTTCGGGATAGAGAATTTGGAAGCCGATATGACTCTAGACAGACAGAAGCTACTCAATTTAATCGCCAGGATCAACTCAACTCTCAGTTCTCCCGGGCACAAATCTCTTCTAACCAAGGGGTAATTGATGTAAAAGGAGTTGAATTCTTTTTGTCTTTTTAAGATTTTTGGCGTTGGACATTGAGTTTCCTTTGTTGAACCAGGGAGGACCAGCTCCAGCTTTGGTCAAAGCTGAGGTGCCCTGGTCGGCTAGAAGGGGGAATCTTTCTGAGAAGGAGCGTGTTCTAAAGACTGTTAAAGGGTAAAATTTAAAATACGTTTCTTGCATCATTATCTCTGATTTCTATTGACGAACCATAAGGGACCTTGATTTTCTGGATCTTATTCAGGATGTGGTCCTAAATTAAGCTCAATGGCGTCCTAGTAATCCATGAAGTAGGAACAATTTTTTTTGTTTCTTACTAAGTTACTGGAATAGGGAATTGCTTTGAACTTCCAACCTTGGATTTTATTATGGCATAACAAGCTCTACAGTTCAGGTTTAATATGTTTTTAAGTATGGTTTGTACCTGCAACTTTTAATTTTCGAAGTTGCTGAATATGGGTTGCACATTGCGTTAAGCAGTGAATAAGAGAATGTGATAAATTTATTCTTGATACTAATGGCAGTGGTGAAAATTGCATATTCGTTATCTGATTACCTGGACAAGCGACGGCTTCCATCTGTAAATAGCTTGCAAACTTGCTAAGTGTTTTTTCTTTTGTCAAGTTTGCATGATAGGAAGAGGCAATGATTACCTTCCCCGTCCTTTGGGATGAAATTAACTGTGAATGACTGATTTTTCTGAATGGTTATCTGTTCTCTGTGCAGGATACTGAACAAGCTGACTCCTGAGAAGTATGATCTTCTGAAGGGCCAACTTATTGATTCTGGCATCACATCAGCTGATATCTTGAAGGTTATTCTTTTTTACATTACTGTTAGTCATTTTACATTACTGCACATTATTCTGTATGTCTTTGCGTGTACACACATACTTTCACACATTGATTTATATCGTTTCCTTTTTTAGTTACTGCAGTTGTAAGATGAACTCACTGATGGTATCTTTACAGGGGGTTATTTCTCTAATATTTGAGAAGGCTGTTCTGGAACCCACATTTTGTCCCATGTATTCTCTGTTGTGTTCTGATCTTAATGATAAGCTCCCCCAATTCCCATCTGACGAACCTGGTGGAAAAGAAATCACATTTTACCGAGTCCTTTTGAATAACTGCCAAGAGGCATTTGAGGGAGCTGACAAGCTTAGGGAAGAAGTGGGGCTGATGACTGCCCCTGAGCAAGAGATGGAGCGTAGGGATAAAGAAAGGATGGTCAAGCTCCGTACTCTAGGTAACATTCGTTTAATTGGTGAGCTTCTGAAGCAGAAAATGGTTCCTGAGAAGATAGTCCATCACATTGTGCAGGTTATTTCCTGTCTTCCTGATTAATGGTGCTTGGGTTTATTAGTAACTTATTCTAAACCATTTTTTGCCTTTTCTGTCAAACAGGAACTTTTGGGCCATGATACTAAGGCTTGCCCTGCAGAGGAGAATGTTGAAGCCATTTGTCAGTTCTTCAACACTATTGGTAAGCAGCTTGATGAGAGTACAAAATCACGGCGCATAAATGATATGTACTTCAGCAGACTGAAGGAATTGACTACAAATCCTCAGCTTGCCCCAAGACTGAGATTTATGGTTCGTGATGTTCTTGATCTTCGTGCAAACAACTGGGTTCCCAGGCGTGAGGAGGTAGCTCATAAATGCCATCAAAATTTTCTGGTTTAGATTAGATAGATGTTGTTGACATGTCCTTGTGAATGGGTTTTAAACCCAATGTCTTCTTATTTTCTTAATTTTTGCAGGTGAAAGCCAAAACAATCACAGAAATCCATTCTGAGGCTGAAAAAAATCTTGGGCTGCGTCCAGGTGCTACCGCAAGTATTAGAAATAGTCGTGCTGTTTCTGGTGGTCCAATGAGTCCTGGTCCTGGTGGTTTTCCTATCACTCGTCCTGGTACTGGGGGTTTGATGCCCGGAATGCCAGGAACTCGAAGAATGCCTGGTATGCCTGGAATGGACAATGATAATTGGGAGGTTCCTAGGAACCGGTCAATGCCAAGGGGTGATGGGTCAGGTGTACTGCCTGGGGGACGTGTCCCATCACCATTAATCAATAAATCAACTTCAATGAATCCGAGGCTGTTACCTCAAGGCAGTGGTGGCCTAATGAGTGGTAGGACAAGTGCCCTGTTGCAGGGCGGTTCAACCCCTCCAGCTCGGCCATCTAATTCTATTTTAGGTGCAGAGCCTGTGGGACAACCATCTCTTTCTGCCAAACCTGTGCCTGTGGCTGTTGTGACTCCGGTTCTAGAGAAACCACTAGCACCGGCTGCAAGAATAAATCCAGGTCTACGGAGAAAAACACAGGCACTGTTGGAAGAATATTTTAGTGTTAGGCTGCTGGATGAGGCATTGCAATGTGTGGAGGAACTAAAATCTCCATCATACCACCCTGAGGTTGTGAAAGAAGCCATCTCCATTGCCTTGGAGAAAAGCCCACCCTGTGTTGAGCCGGTTTCAAGACTTCTGGAATACTTACTTACTAAGAAAGTTCTTACACCTAGAGACATAGGGACTGGTTGCCTGCTCTATGGTGCCTTGTTGGATGATATTAGCATTGATTTGCCAAAAGCACCAAATAATTTTGGAGAAATAATTGGGAAACTTGTTATGGCTGGAGGATTAGATTTTAATGTGGTGAAGGAAATCCTAAAGAAGATGGAAGATGACAAGTTCCAAAAAGCTGTATTTGATGCAACAATGAGGATCATTTGCTCTAATCCTTCGGGCCAAGCTCTGTTGGATGCACAGGCATCTGAGGTCGAGGCCTGTCAGAATCTATCCTAAATTTTGCATGCTACTCTTAATGTCTGTGTTCACAAGGACTTCTGCTTATCTCCACTTCAATATAATGTTTCCTACGTTTTCCCCTGCTTTTTGAGGCGAGCAACTTGTATTATTTGATAAAGGTGGAGCTGCCAAGGACAGGTAAAATTTTATTGAGTTGTATATTTCTCCGAGGTCATAGCGGTGTGTTTATTGAGAAAAGAAATTAAAACCATAATGCCATGGATTTTGTCCTCGAGTGTGGCTAATACATGCCAGAGTTCTCGGGAAGAGTGGTCACCTGTTTAAGGGATCCAGTTGTTTTTGTATTTGATTAGTTTTTTGATAAATTTTTTGACTTGAGTAATTTAGTTTATTGTTGAACTTAGTTCATAAATCTCAAGTTTTTAGCTTATTTACAGTCAAAGTGAAGTCCACTTTGATTTCTGTCACTGCCTTTATCCGTTCATTCTCACTCTGCCATGTTTGAAAAAAGGCTTAAATTCATGAAGTTGTGCTACCGGAGACAGATTGAAGATGGTAATTTGCCCGCTAAATAAAATAAAGTCCTGAAGAAAAATCCATGCAACTCTTGGGTATATCACCTAGTACTAACTGTTACTGATGGAGCTTAGATTAATGTGATAAATGGTTGTCTTTAATGAATCCAAGAATAGGATATGTGGTGGCCGAGGGGTAGGCTCGTTCCTGGGATGGAGGCCTGCTGAAAGCAAAATTAAGTTAGCTAGAATTATGAGCTTAAACAAAAGTCTTATCAGCTGGATGGGAGGGGGAGGCGCCGTTTCATGCCAAAAAGATCAATGTATGTCGTCAATTATTGGGATTGAAAGGGGCCTCTCAAATCATATCGTTTGTTGACTAAACTTGTACCGCTCTTGATTATATGCTCGAATAGTTGTTTCTTCAATCATTGAGGTTGCTATCCCTTCACGTTTAACTTTGCTTACCGCTCCACCTATTGGACTTCACCAATCTTGGCTGATCAGACCTTTTCTGTACCTCTAAATTAATTAACCTTTCAACTTTTTCTTCTTATTCACCAATGCTTCCATCTGATTATCCCAAGCTCACAACTCAACTCTTATCAGGATCGGTTCTTCTAACCTTATATGTTGATTAAAGATTATGCATAAAGAAGATTTATCGTGGATCAATTTCTAATAAAATCGTTAATTGTATTTCTAACTTTGTGCTGATCTACAATTGTAATATTGGAGTGAACAAACTTCAACTTTTGGGCACCTTTTTTTTTTTACTTATTTCTCATGTGTTGAGATGAATTGTATTTATAACGATTTAAAAAGTTTTGTAAGCATTTGAGGGAAGGAAGAGTGTTTTCATTTTGGGCATGCCAATAAGTTTCTGTAATTATCTTCCAACATTTTTTCTAGTATTAGTTTTAGTTCTTGGTTTATAAAATTCATTACTCGTTAACTTATAAATATTAGGAACTAAGAAAGATGAAACTGGACTATTGGGCCAACTTAAGCCTTGTGAAATGTAAAACAGGCCCAGGTGTGCTGGTCTTTAAAACCAACTTCCAAAATAATAATAAAAAAATCCCCAAATCTTCCCGCGTCTTTTGATTTAGGTAGACAGGAATGTCCGCCAGCGAAAACCGAGCAGCATCAGCAGCAGCGAGAGATACTTCAAGTGATGAATCGTTAAGGCTAGCCGTAGCCATATCTCTCCTCCGATCAAAGTTTCTCCAGAACCATCCTCCTCCTTCCCAATCCGACGCTCTTAAATGGAAGCGAAAGGTCTCTGTTTCTCTCTTTTCCTTCTAACTCCCTCTTTACATTTGCCAAATTTCAATTTCTAATTTCTGTCTCTCTCTTTGATGGAATTTTTAGGCAAAGGAGCGAAAGCAAGAGATTCTCAGACTCAGAGACGATCTCAAGGAAGCCGAAGGTTCTCCAGTTCTACTCTTTCTCTTCAAAATTTCCTCCTTCCTTTTGGCTGCATTTAGTTTCCTTTGAACACAGGGTTGCGTGTATGTATGTGTTTCTAGATGCTTCGCAATTCGACCTTTTCCCGCAAACTGCTTCTTGCAAGTGCTATTTCTTCGGTAATTTGGGGAAATTAAGCCCTAATCGACTTGGAGACGCTTCTGATCGTAGATTCAATGATGTTCTTCGCCGAAGATTTCTCAGACAAGGTTAAATCATTAACATTTTATCATTTATCAGAACTAGCTGCGTGTTTTCAATGTTTGTCTAATATATGGTTTCTTTTCTGCTTGCAGTTCGACTGAGGGAAAGAAGGAAAGGAGCTGCTTCATCTCTTAAAGGGCGTGTTTTAGGTGCATATACAAGAATTTTCTGGACCCTTTGTAACTAATCTGGATTCCTTCTTATGGTTTATATTTTTCTGATTCGATCTATGTTTCTTGGGGCACCACGATGATATGGCAATATAAGGTTCAATCTTGTATCTTATTTGATTTAGGTGATCAACTCCCTTTAATGTTCATTTTACTGGGATAAGAAAGTATGATGTGAATGAATTTCATTATTACAAAAAGTTAGTAGAATTACTATGCATGGACTATAAAGACCAAGTACCGCCAGTTTATACCATTTATAGCATATTTGGTTTGCTAAATGGAATATGGTAGAATTGGAATATAATCATTTCATTCATAGAGTGGGATTGGAATGGAATAGTTATTTTATAGTTTGTATCATGATCATAGAGTAGATTAGTAGTTTTTTTGGTTTGAATGTTATGAATATACCAAAAGAAATGGTGTTCTTTTATTGTAATGGAACTAGTAACAGGACTTCTGTTTATAACTGCAGGCTGTAACGATGAAGATCAAGCAGAGCAGCTTAAGGCTTCAATTGATTTTCTTGTGGAGCTTTGTGATACAAGTTCTCCTGTAAAGTGCCTTTTTTGTCTTCTGGTTTTTGTTTATCACTCTAAGAGATGTAAATCCATAGTGTGGTAACTCCTTTTCTTCTTATTTATACCTTTTCTGTAGGTTCAAGAATCTAAATTTGAAAATTGGTCTCACCAAGCTGTGGAATTCATTTTAGGTAATCATGACATGGTATCATTCATTGGAGCTTATGTAAAATCTTTCACAATAGAAATTCAAGTCATGAACTGTTTCTTCAAAAGACTGTATATCTAGGGGTATACAACATATTTGCTTTTGAAACTTAGGTATACAACATATTGAATATCAAATTCATATGGAGATATCTCAATCCCATGGTTGTTTAAAAGTACTGAAAACTTCCACATCATTGTTTGTGACCAGAAGTGAACTGTAGGATTGATGTAGGCAAGATCAACAAAAGGAATGGCTAACCTATTTAATTGTGGCTGCTTTTGGTAATAAGGTGTTTTTTTGAATACCATAATGTAAATTGTGATTAGTTCCCATGAATACTCGCCTAATGTCATTTCCTGTTTTTAGATTGTGGGACAGTCTTTAGATTTTGATGTAAGGCAGCTTTTATTTTCTACTAGAAAAAAGGTTAGAATGGAGTTTTTTAATTCCAGGATGGTTGAGACTTAAGCCTCTTGGTGTATTTTCTCTATTTACCGAATAGCTTATGATTTTCCTTCATTAGATTTTCCATTTGCGTGGGTTGATCTTGTTCTTAACAAATCAGAAAAGAATTAAAAGCCTAATAAAACTGGTAGCACTGGCCATATTGCTGTAGAGTACCTTGCCTGCTTACCATATTAAATGGTTGAAGCCCACATGACCTGAAATTCAGGTTGGTTAGAAAGCAGGGGAGAAAAAACTGATATTGTCCTTTAATGTATCTTATCTCATTCTGAAGTAGATGAAATACTTTTTCGATTTAGACATCCCTGACTAATGTATATCTGAGTGAGGCAATGGTTCCACACTGCTTTTAGGGATTAAGTTACTTTGAAGCCAAGTTAAGTTTACGAACCAGTCCAAATGGCATCAGAAGTAATGCAGTGTGAGAAAAAGCAGATGATATAGAAAGGACTGCACATGAAGAATGTTTGGAAGGTGGTTGACCTAGAAATCAAATTTGAAAAACAAATATATAAATATGTTTGTACCTTTAGCGTCTTGTACAAGTTGAAGTTGTTCTGAGGCAGGAGAAATGAGAACTGTTGGTCTGACTGAATAGAAAATAAGACTCAAGTCACTCAGATTAGGCTTATTGGAAACTAGCAGAAATTGCAACTTTTTGCTAGTATTTGAGAAAGAAAGTTAAGAAATGAAAAGATTGCTTCTCTGATGTAAACTAGTGGTTATTCAGCATTGTTGAATCTGAAATCTTGTTTGACATTGAAGGTAAATGAATAAACTGTTGATTTCCATATTTTCTTCATGCTCGTTTCCCTTTGTTTCTGCCAATATTTATTGTGCTGCAATGTGGGCCTTTTCTTGGCTTGCTATACTGGTTTGAAAATCCTGACTGTCTAATCTGTGTGCTTTTCTTCTTCCTCTTTCATGTGTTTTCTTTAGTGGCATTGAAGAATCTATTATCGACGGGAAGGAAATTGGAATCCATTGAAGGAGTTGTTAGCAGCTTAATTATGCGTTTGGTTAGACTGATGTCTTCTCCCTCAAGAGGAGACGGTAAATATTCTGTTGTGTTTGGAACCTACTTAGATTTGTTGTAAGTTTGTGGTGTTAAACATTTATGTCTTCGATAACCAGAATATTTTTTTCTTGTGCTTATTTGTTTACATCGGCATCTACTGCTTACAGAAGTGAGATGCTAATGTGTGCTTGCCTTTAGTCACCAATTTTCTCTCCTTTCCGTCAGTTATTTATTTTTGTTTTCAACATGCTATTTCAGAGGCACATCACAGTGACACCAATTCCCAGTTCTACATTCAACATTTGCTCCGTAAGCTTGGGTGTGAACCCTACATTGGACAGCGTGTAATACTTTCAGTTTCTCAAAGAATATCTGTACTCGCAGAAAGTTTACTTTTCTCAGATCCATTTGATGAAAATTTTCCTGCTATGCATGAGTGCATGTTTGTAATGTAAGTATTTCCTAGTTATCCAATCTTTTATGTTCTTTTCTCTAAATTTTGACCTTTGATTAACTTCAGCTCATTAGTTATAGTTTGACAAGAACAATCATTAGTTACAGTTATTTAAACTTAGGACGTAGGGCAATCTTGTAAGAATTTTTTGGATTGCTTATCTCTTCTTTGTCCTTGTTGTTTATGATTTTGCTGTATGTTTTCTCTTTTCCTTGGCATCATGCTCTGGTGCGTGTGCATATGTGTGTGTCTGTACTACTTTTTTTTTGTCAGAAAATAGCATTATGCTCTGTTATAAAAACCGCAATTTTTTTTCTCTTCTTACTGTAGAGTTGTATTTTGCATCTCGTGCTTTGTTTTGTTCCTTTTCTATCTACTGGAATAGTTATCTCCTAATATTCAAATTTAGAGATTTCCACCAGAATTATTGCACAAGAGTTATGGTTTTATGTACTGCATTGAGTTTCTAGCAATTGAGGAGAAGGCACAGGAGCTTGGAAACTTGTTTTGAGTCATTAAGTTTTCCTTAGAAGGATATTTAGATTGCTGAATGTCTGTTGAATCTGAGGATGGATCCTCCATATGTCCAGTATAACATCGAAATATGGCAAAATTTGTGTCATTTTTCTTGAAATTTTGAAGACATGAAATTTCATGGATATTGACCTCCACTTTGATATTTTTGAAGATGTTTGATGAAATGAAAAAAAAAGTAGGAAAAAGTCATGGAAGCCCCTTAAAAGATGCTATTTCAAGAAATTTTAGGATATTCTTATCGCATGTTTATTTATTTATTTAGTTTTTGGATAAGCGCTTGTTTCTTACATAGATATATGCAGTCTTATTCCTACTTTGATTAACTTGAACCCATAATGTCTGAGTCACCAGCAAGCAAACTTTATTATTGTGCCCAACAAGGTTGAAATGCTTCAGTTTCATATCTTAAGCATTCATTCATCTTAGTCTGGATCCGTTGATAATATAAAGGATGCTGGAGTGAGTGTTATCCATTGACAGCATGGATAAATTGCTTTCTGTGAGGTAGATTTCAATACTACCCAAAATTTTGTTACCATGTTCATTTAAAAAGGAGTTCATTTCATGCTGTGCTATTGTTAACAAATTTCATGGTAGCATATTTGTTTCTTGTGCTTAATATACCAGCTTCTGTGCTGTTTAATAGGCTTTAGGTGAATTGTATGCAACCTCAGCAAGCTGCTTGTGCAAATAACTCGAGATTTTATGCAATACTTTTAAGTCTGGGTTATTGCATATGGATTTCCTCCGTGTAATATGAGTAGCTCAGTTTGATCTGTTTCTCTGGGTGGCAGGATCCAGCTTATTGAGTTTTTGGTATCAGACTACTTGTTAACCTGGCCAGCAAATGAAGGCTTTGACAATAGTATGCATTTGCCAATTTTTTCTGCTCATAGTTATTTATACTGTTGCGCTCCCATTAATTCACCATGCTTGCTTCCTCGGTTCCAATGTAACATAACACTTAGGCGTACATATATCTTTTTTGGGATCGATGTAGTGTTTTGCACAGCATGCATGTACCAAACATGAGATGCCAGCACATTTTGCATATAATAACGCACACAATCCTTGCGTTTTGCATGCATTGCTCATTGCATATGGTATGGTTTGCCCCGAGAGAGGCAAACTCATAAGGTAGGCTTCTACTTGAAGTTTTGTCTCTGTCCGCATCCATTACTCATTTTTAGGACATTGTAATTTCTTTGGTTCTGAACAAAGTCTCTTTTAAGCTCCTGCCTACTTCCCTTCTAACATAGAAAAGTAAAGAGCAATGTGCATTGATTGTGAATAGCTGCAAAAAGATATTAATTTCACATTCACCCTTGTTCAAATTAGCGAAAAAGTTTCTGCAAATATGAAACCAGCATGAAAATCTTAATTACTATTATTTACTTCTAATTAGAGACACTATGTTCTTACGATACTACAGTAACGTTAGTATCATCTATTCATCCATCTAATGTCCATGGTTGAGGTAAATGGTAAAGTTGCTGGGCCGCACTGACCATTAGGGAATGATAAATGACAATGACATTGCAGTTCTTTTTGAAGAGTGGGTGACATCACTTGTCCAGGCACGGAAAGCTGTTGAAGTTTTAGAGAGCAGAAATGGGCTGTATGTGGTGTACATGGATCGAGTCACGGGAGAATTGGCTAAACTCGTGGGTCAGGTTCCATTGTCGCAGAAGCTCAATTCAGATATTTTTGATGCCCTTTTCCGTTAGGGTATCTGCAATGGGAGTCACATGCCTGAAAATGCTTCAAACTTTTTGGTTCTAGTTCTTGGACAGCAAACTGCGAACCATACTTGAAATGGAAAACAAGTTTCAAGCATTTTATCCCCTTGAGCACTTTCGCTTTTTAAATGGAACGAGAATAGCATCTCTTTGGTCTTTGCTCAGTATGAAAATCGGTGATAGAATAAAGTATGGGAATTGCGACTTTGGGTCAAATTTATGTAGAGGTTTTAAGTCAGACTCGTAGCGGCTGAAGCTTCAAGGTAGTGGTACCTCAGCGCGTCTCTTTGGCGGCTCCGCGTGTCACAGCGTAATTGAGTGCTTGGAATTTCATGCCGTTCTGGAAACCCATTTACCTTTTAAGACGAGTATGATTATAACTTCTGAATTATTTCCGCGCTGCGTCATTGCTTTGAATGTACAGAATTGAAGCCTATCAAGTGTTTTTAGAGTTCTACTTTTTGGTAATATCTTTTTGTTATTTTTTTTCCACACGATATCAAAGAAGTTTCAGATTGCTTCGTGTCCAAGTTCATTACATCATAAAGAGACTACTATTTGAAGTTTAGATCCGCATTTTACGTTTTTTGTTTTGTTATATTCGTGCGTGTTAACTTGTTTAGAGAATTACAGTAATAATTTACAAAAAAAAAACATTAAAACATTTTTATTTTAGCGTTGCAAAAACAAGACGAACTTAATATGTAATAGATTTGATAATTTGTGTTTGTGTATTTTAATTATATTGTATAGATATATAATGTTAATAATTATGTAAGTAAATATGAAGATGATAGGATTAATTAAACGTATCAAAATTTATATTATATATGAATATATAAATATTTATTAAATATGTAATATGATGTATATTAAATAAATTAGATTAAATTTTATATAATATAATATTATTTATAATTCTCATAAACAATTAATATTATTAAATTAATATATATAATTATAAATAAAATATAAATTTATTATTTAATTTTAAAATTAATAATCATAAAAATAATTATGATAAAACAACAATATTCCTCCAGTATAATAAAACTACCATCAACATCAAGAATAATAAAATTTACCACTATTATCATCACCCATGATAAAAAGTAGAGTATAGATGATGAACATTGAGCCATGGATCCTAAACTGTCATGCAGAGGATAGTTGTCTTGGGGAAAAGTTTTAATGCAAATGATTAAGCTGCAAAGTAAGAAAGTGATTATGGAAAAGTAATCGTTGGATTAATTTTTTTTTTTCATCTTTCTCCTTTTTAATCCTTCTTACCAATAAAAAGTTCCATAATTAATTAATTTGCTTCATTCTTGCATTTAATCAAATTATATACCCTTTAGCATCTTTCAAATAGCATCAAACTTGTGGTCAATCAAGTTTATATATATATATATATATATATATATAATTGAAAAAAAAAATTCAAACTTTATTTTTTAAATAGGAGAATAATGCACCAACTAATTAACCAAATACTCGGTGTTTGCGGTCAATCAAGGTGATACCAAACTCTTAATGATAGATATGATCGAATTTCTTAAATTCACTAGGTACTTTTTGTAAGTGCATGCCTTAGAGTTGGGCAAGAGATACTTATCCGAAAATGTATAAAACTTGAAAAAAATTCACTTTATCAAATAATTTTATAGATAATAAATTATTCTGAAACTAATTTGATAAAATTCTTGGATATTTGACACTTTGCATGGAAATTATAAAGAGTTATAATTATGAGATTTTAATGCATCAAAGCACACATCTTAAATGTTTGTAACCGATGTATCATTGAGACAAGACATCACTGATGCTTAAAGGCCAGCACATTTTATATTCTCACTATAAGTGGGCAAACAATCTCATATGATTGATAGTATAAGGATAGTTAGAACAAAAATGTAAGTGCTTGTTCAAGTAAGAACAAGTTTATTAAACTGGACCCGTCATGAGAATTTCATTTAGTACTTTACTCAAGTATTTAAGGATTAAATTCTCATATGTTAGTCGTGTAAGTAATCCTTAAACTTGAGACATCATTGTTATCTTGAATGAAGAGTGTTATACTTTGATTCAATCTTTACAGATCCTAACCATGGATGCCCAAAAAGTATGTCATTGGATATAGCATGAATCATATGGAGGCATATGAATTGTCCAGAGAGAAATTATCACCCTAAGTGAAAATTGTTAAAAGGGAAGTATCGACTTGATGAATTATTCGACCAAAGCAGGATGAAAAGAAAAGAGTTTCCTTAAGGTATCATAAAAAATCGACATTAAGGCTTAATATTTCATATGAAAGATATAAAGGGGAGACACTGTACCATGCCGTTTGTCCATTCTGAGATACATGATGATAGCATTGAATTACACAAGGAAGACTAGACATGAAAGTTTGAGTCAAACCATATGACTCTTTTATCATTTGGGTGGCCATGATGTTTTGCTAGAAGCCAATCTTAGTCTATAAGTATAATCAGCCAATTAAAGAATTGATGATGAAATCAAATAAGATTTGATTCATCCAATTGTAAATGAGATTTGGAATTACAATTTATACTTATTGTCAACATGATAAGAAGCTTAATGAGTCACACACATAAAATAATTATTAAGAATTAATTTGAGCATCAATCAAATAGGATTTGATATGCGAAGTTGAAAGACTTTATAGTGAGATAAATTGAAGAATTCAATTTATGAGTTTTTAAGGCTATTACAAGAAGTTCAACTGAAGGAATTTATTTGAATATGATTAATAAACTAAGTTTTAGAGCATTACATGGTGATGTAATAGCATGGCTTAAGCTTACACAAAAGATGCCATAAAGCTTGGATAGAAATAAGATTTAAGCTATCTGGAGGATATGCATATAAGATGTGTGATTTCTCTAAGAGGACTTGGGGAGATTAGGAAACTTGGAAAGCTTGTCAACATCATGAGGATGATCATTAGGCTACTTAGATTCGGTTTATTATTATTTTTAATATATTTATTCTTTTATATTCCAAATACTTTTAATGGTTTTTTAAAATTTTTAGACAGTAAAAAAGCACAGAACACCAATTTATAATAAAAAAAACATGAAATCAATTTTTTTTTCTTTAAATTCAATGAAAGTGGAAGAATAACAAAAAAAAAATTTAAAGAGAATATATAGTAAGATTGTGCTTGGGAATCTCTGTGGACTTCATTAGTATAATTCTGCTTGGAATATTAGTTTTATGAATAAATAGTTATATATTTAAAATGTAAAACAATAGTTTTGTAATTGTTTCATGTGTGTTATTAAAAACGTTCTTTACATTTGATAAAATCACACATCACTGTCGCTACGTTGTCATCACCTGCGCTGCCCCACCAATGTCCTCAACTGGCAGTGCCAGAATTACTCTATAATTTTTATATAAATTTTTGGGTATTTGAAAGCAATGTATATCAACACGGTGCGAGTATCATACTCCTAGCAATTATTATATGATTAATCTCTGGCCCACTCCAACCAACGCCTCTTCATTTTATATATTTTTGTGTATATCTCCTGGCAGATCTCATCGCGGCTCTTTGAACACTTCACTGTTACAACATCTTATCCTTTCTCCTTCTAAACTTCCAGAACGAGCTCCGTTCCCCATAACGTAACAGCGTAACAGCCAGGCATGACCCTCCTCAGATTCATATTAGCTCTCTCAATTGTCACCCTCCTCTTGTTCTCTCGATCTCTTCCAACTTCAGCTGCTGCTGACCAAGACGGAGGAGGAGTCTTGATTCCATTCAGGAGACTCCTCCTAAGCCAGCCTGTGAAAGCTGGGGAGAAACCAGGAGATGATGACCACGACTTCGTTTCATCTGTGCCTAAGAAGTTCAGGATTCATATGAGAAAAGTAAGAGGTGGTGGCATTGCAACTCGTGGTCGAGGAAGAACCTCATCAGCTGTCAGAACCCAATTCTGTTCCTCCCATTTTGCTTCTTTTATTGGCTGCTCTCTGTTCCTTGGTCTCATGATGCTGTAGGTGCTTTTGTGTCTAATTAGTTGATTAGTTAATCAGTTCTCCTTCTCCGTATCTTGGATTTTGTTTACCGTACGCAATAAATAAAGGTTTGGAAGGTTTTAGTTTGCATTCTCAATTTTGTATTTATCTGTATTAATTGATATGGCTGCTGAGCCCTGTTTTTTTTTTCTTTCATTTGTAATTTATTCCCGAATTGATTTCTTGTCACTCAACTCTTGAGAACGGGATTGAATCCATGTCCTTTCGGATTAATTGTACGATAGCTTCTCAATTAACTATATATATATATATATTATGTATCCAATAATAAATCTATAGAAGAAATCAACAAAACATGTTTTTTGTTTGCTCAACCTTGGACAGTTTTGACCGTAAAATTGGGTAATTGACATAAATTTGAAAGGTGTAGTAGAAAAGTGTGCAAGGAAGGTGCCTCTTCCAGCAAGTATTGGACATGAAGGGTTGGCCGGTCTTTCCATTCTGAAAGGAATTGAAATCTTGTGTAATACTCAAAAGGACCTTGAAATATTGAACATGGTTTTGGAAATTAGGGCAGCCATTGGAAGCCATAAGAGACCAAATTTCTGTGATGGATTAATATATTGTTGCCACAGTAACTTATGTTATTCTAATGATAGAAGAAGAGAGATACTAATTTCAGTGAAAATGCTCACATCTTACACCCGAAAATTCCAAATTCCTTCAGTCAATACCATCGTCTACTTGTCTTCTTTAGTTAATTATTTGAGCACCAGCTTCGTGGAAAGATTTTTAACAGTGTACTTCTAGTGAAAGAACTTGGAAAGGAAATGATTCCCCTGTTTAATACACTGTAATTTGACAGATAGAATATCATGGAAACAGTTGATCCAGAATACCCAAGGAGTAAATTCAAAGCGAAACAGTGAGCAATAGCATCTTCAGAATTCAAAAACCTTTCCTTATCAAAAACTACTCGAATCAGTTTCCACACTTATGGCCTTCTGCCGCTGGTCTCTTCAACTTTCGGTGAAGATCGTCTATTTCCATCCACCCCCAACCAAATGCCGCTGCATATTCTATAACATACTTAAAAAGAAGCCCGATTGGGCTTTTCCCTCTAATCACATGGGGGCATAGAGGTATTTCTTGTTTCTTGTTATTTCTTGTTAAATTTATCCATATAAATATACGTATGGTAATAAATAATATAGAGATAAGTAAAATGTCAAATCTTACAAGAAATTACACCAATTTAAATTAAGGACTAAAATTGTGACAAACTAATTTTATCTTAGTAATTAAAATTAAAAGATTAATTAAAAACAACATTAAACTAACAAACTAAAATTAATAGTTGAATAGCAAATTTTACTAGAAAAACAATTGATTAAAAACTTAAAATTATTATATCCCTCAACACTTTGTCTGGTAGGTGTACCAGATATCTATTATTCACT